CATGATCCATTGTCCCGCGAGTCCTCTGAGTAGAGATTCCACATATGGAATCTTAATTTCATCATGGTGATCTCCATATCCCTTAACGGCAAAATATCCGTCGCATTGCACTAAGAATCTTCGTAGCTTATCTTCGGCTCCTTCATATGTGTCGGGCTCCTTTGCTTTTAGTCATTGGATGTTGCCTTTTCCTGTGTTTCTTGTTGCTGCGAGAAATGCCTGAAACTGATTTTCAGTCATCCCAAGTATACTAGTTCCTGGTGCCGGAACGGCTGGGGCCAGTGGCCCTGGTACTGCGGATCCCGACATTCTCTCGGGTCGTGGAGTTCTAGCAGGAGAGCTATCGACTGGTGATCCTTTCTCTGGGGTTACTGGGCTTGCTGCTCTTGAGGGTCCTGCTGAGACGTGGTCTAGGACGTCACTGAATCCTCCTAGATTAAGATTTTGATCGTCGATGTCAATATCTCCTTCCCTGTCTGGGTTGAAGGATGCCGTCTTGTATCGTTTTGCGTCGTACTAGGTGACGCTTTGTAATGTAATGATCCCTCCCTGGATAGTTAGCTCGTGGCGATGGGGAATGATACTTCTCATTTCTGTCTCTTTCTTCCTTCGTCTTATGATAGCTCTAGGCCTCTGCCTACGTTGCCGATAGTACAAGACCTTTTTCTTCTATTGGGAACGCCTATCGTAAGCTTTCTCTAACTGGTCTTCGTGGAGAACCTTCCTTGGCGTAACAATAACGTCGCAGTAAAGATAAAGATCGTAAAAGTGTTTTATATTTGTTTAAAGTAATAAGTAGGAAAAGTACTTAGAACAAAGCGTGAAGAACCTATCCTCCTTGGCCGCATCGGCCTCCTTATATAATGTTCTTCCGCCCATAGTCATGTGACCTAAAGTGGTCACATGTGCGAAACAAAATCATAACAAACTAATCATGTGACCAACATGATCACATATTCAAACCCCATGACCTCATAGCGAGGTCATGTGCGAAAAACTCATAAACCAATCATAACACAATAAACCAATCATATGACTTGACCGAGTCATATGTGCAAAACGTAAATCATATGCATAAGGCTTACCTGCAAGGCATACTCGCAAGGTACACTCGCAAGGCACACTTGCTCTATGTACGTCCCATCACTCATATTTGAGCCATGTGCAAAAGCATCACAAATCCCACACATAACAAATCATATGACCTGAATGAGTCATATGTGTGAAACAATAACGTACCTTTGACTCATAACTATGCGTCACGTGAAAACCCTTTCTTCTCTAAGCTACGTTCGTGACAGCTTACTGAACGTGGCCTGTGGCCACAAAATCAACTACGCTTTCGAACACAACGCTCAATTCTATCCAGTGTGGGAAAGTCCAGAATACTCAATTCTCGCTGTTTGCAAGGTGGAAGCTGTTGTGCCCGTGCCCTCCTAGCAGCACAACTAGACTTTCAAAGTCAGAAAAGTCAAGTGGAGCAGGTCATTCTAGACGCAGGACATAAGGTCATATTTTATCCAGCAATTCATTGTGAACTCAATTTTATTGAGTATTTCTGGGGGGAAGCCAAGCGGTATACCCGTGAGAATTGTGAGTATGATTTCAAATCCTTAAAACACCTTGTACCAGAAGCTTTAGCAGGTATTTCAGGACAATTAATTTGGAAATACTGGGCACGTACAGAGAGGATCATGGAGGCATATAGATCAAATACTATTTATGGATCCAAGGAGTATGAAGCACTTGTACATAGAAAGTATGCCTCACATTGTCGTGTTAGTGGCAACCTGTAGTCAAACTGTAATTGGAAAGGTTCTTCAAGTTACTCAAAAACAATATCTTCAGTACTGTAATTACATAAACTTACAATATTGTATATTCTCTATGTGCTTTCCTCTTTAAAAACAATGATTAATTGAACTGAAAACATTAATACATTCTATATTATTATATTGTTAATACTTATCACAATCTGAGTCAGAATTTATGATTAGGTTCCCCTTACCCTGATTACATCAGGCGTCACATTTTGAACCATCGTTGGTGCACATTTTAGTCGCCTCACACCATACCACCGAATGTACTGTACTGTACCCGCCCAAGCGCGGGTATGACCCATGACCAGCACTACCAGCTCCCTCCGCCCGGTAATCACCCACCCCTACCTAGACTATTATACTAGTACCACCCAACCCATCCATCCACCATCAATGACCAAGGGCAAACCTCCGGAGCCTATCGCCCTTGTCACATCCCACCACACCACATCGCACCCTGGACCACACAACACAATACTACAAGTATGATACAGTACTTGTAAGATATGATCCTAACATTTCAAAAAAAAAAATCCCAGAATCTTCGCACAGTTGATTATAGCGAGGGATAATAAACAGAAAAGGTAATCCCATCCATCTCGTCATCAAATATTGGATCGTTTTCCTAACCCGCACGAATTCATCCCTTGGGGTACGGTATGCGTGGTGATGGCTTTTTCTCGGCCCGGTCGGAATTTGTATACTAGGCACTCCCGGTGGAGGTGGAGTTCACGGCACAATGGTACTGCGCCATACTGGTGTTTCCTAAGCTGTGAGTGGATTTCGCCGGGTTTTGGCACGGGGGGGTGGTTAGTGCGATCTTTTATGGTGCCTGCGGGGGGCACGGTGGTATTGTCGGGGCTCTTTGTGACGATGTGATGGATGGGACGGGTGCGGTATGGCAAGGTTCTGGAGAAAAAGGTGTATGGATGGTATGATAGCATACAGATTTAGAGTTTTAAAATAGGGTATCAAACTACGATAGTTTAGGGAAATAGAAGTGATACGGTAAATACAGACCAACGGCATATATAATACTTGTTTGCACTCGAGTAACAGAGGGGAAAAAGAACAGCCCTACAAAATCTGACGTTTGCCACCAGATCTTTTCGTGTATTGCCCGCCGCCCCACCCGCTATTGGGTGTATTGGCGCAGGAAGGCACTGAGCTCGTAATGTCGTGACGTCCACAATGCCGACAGCAATCGCATAGAGCCAAAATTCTGAGACTCAAGCCAGTTTTCGGCTGTGCGCGATTCTAGTCTGTTTTGCAAACGTCATGACATTGAGAATAGCTGTGCCAGTATGAGCCGGGAAGGGAAGCCGCCCATGAAGGGGCAGATGTCGCTTCCGCCGGGATTCAGACCCGCCTGCCCAACAACTGCTTGCCACTCACTGCACTGTACATGGGAGGGATCACTCATACGCAGTGTCCATTTCCAATGTCGGCAGAGGGAGAAGGGGGCGATTACGAAGCCCGGAAGCCCAGAAGCTGCGAGTGATGATACATGATTACGATATTCTGCCGGTTGGTGGGTAGGTACTGCTCTAGGGGGCGGTATTCGGTAGAGCGCACACCAGAGCCGAACAGGCAAGTGAGAAATCCCTGCACAGTTACCGTCAGTTAACGGAGTAACAAATATAAGAATGACTTCTCCACTTCCGCCAACCATGTCCGTCCCACCGCCGGTCCCCGGTTTTTAAGAGCAAAGCTCCGAACAACCAATCGGTCTTTCACCCACCCCACCTCCTTTCAAAGTAATGCAGAATACCTTTTTCCATGAAGATCGATTGATTGGTTAATTGACCAATCAATCAATCAATCAATCAATCGCCGTCTGGTAGGTCTGTGTGCCCCAATGACATCATTGCTGGATCGTACGTGTACAAATCTGTGGGTAGCGATTCGTGGTCTGCAGCCAGGTTGGGTTGGGTTTGAGTGCGCAGTGTATCGCGATTGGCGAAGGCAGCACAGGGGAAGTGAAGTCTTTTTTGATGAATGTGGATGTCTCGCAGGCCCTAGCAGGCAGTCCATGGATGAACCAATGATGGAGAACATAATTTACGCACTGTCAAACACAAAATCCTGACCTTCTCCGCTCCCAGAATTAGAATTCTCCAGCCTTTGCATGAAGCATGTGTGATAATGCCGGCACGAGTAGGGATCCATCCATCCAGCAACCAGCAACCAGAATTGAGAAAACAACTCATTGAGAAACCAGGGCCCCACGCCCGCATTACCAAGCCAACCTTACCGAACTTTCCAACGGAATCGTTTCCCGGCCAATGGCTTCATTGCTGTGATGGTTTAGAAGGGCTGAGGAAGGAGTACCGTAAAGTACCGTACAGTACGGTAACCTACTCGAGTACTGTAGCCACGGGCATGGAGCCGCACCCGGGCGCATCAGTGTTTGCTCCCTACCGCATATTGCCAGCAAGGGGTGGCACTCGCAGTGTGCCTGCACTATGGATTCATGGTTTCTTCCACTGATCCTGTCGCCGAGCCAATGATTGGCGCGCTGTCTTTAATTGGCGGTAATGTTAATTCTCGGCGCGGAGACGGGAGTAACAAGAGCAATACTGTGAAAATCTAAACATGCCAGTGATACAAGGGTCTTCAACTTGATCTTGTTGTCCAATTTCCACCCTTGCCTTCAATCCCTATTTCACTCGATCGTTGCACTGGTGCGGTAAGTTCTCACCAATCAGGCGCACTGTACCGATCGGATCAAAGGAATCGCTCCCGCTCAAATTTATCCCACGGTAACAACCCTCATCCATTAATCCATCGGTTCATTCGCATTGTGTCCAACTCCAAGGGTGAACCGAAAACCCATCAATACCAGCAGCAACAAAGCCATCCCACTCACGCCCAGGCCTCCGTTGATACGTGCGACATGTAGCACGGCGTAACGGAGCGGGTGAGGTAAACAACCGACAAAACAGTTATTCAAAAATCATGGATAATCACTCGTCCGTGGTGTGCGGATATTGCTGGTTCTTCAGGGTTTGGCGTGGGGGGCGTGGATTGGTGGTGAATGGAGGAGTGGGAGAAGGGCCCTAGATTTATTAATCTTGCCATGGATAACTATTCGCGTTCTGAGTTAAGTGCTGTGGTCTTCTGGGGGGAAATTTTATACAAGCATTCGTAATCTCCGTCACGTGACTCAACTTGGGGGCGATAGATAGGGAAAACCAAAGCCGGGGATGGTGGTGTGAGCCAAGTTAAAGTTACAAGCATGAGACAACTCTAAGACATCCTCCGCTTCCCTTCCCATCCCCCACCATCTTGTGTATCCCCCTGCCCGACATACATCGCCCCCCTCTTGTAAATACTTGCTATTGGAGTTACCGACCCTCGGCTAGATCCCCCAATTTACCGGGGGAGCGGCCTCCCCAATGGGCCCGTCATTGAGTGTGGCTTCGGGCCCTTCGCCATAAGTTCGTTTAACCCAAGATCCTTCCAGGCCGGTTCGTGCTTTTTCTGCTGGGCCTGTGCGATACCAAAGGCGGCTAGAAGGGTAGGGTATTAGCATTGGTGGAGGGCACAAGCATGTACGGCACGATAACAGGTATTTAAACCGAGCTCAGGCGGAGAGAAGGCAGAAGAGTGCGCAACATAGAGAAGGAAAAAACGGGAAAGGCTTGTAATTGGATTGGATTGGACTATCAAAGCGTACCATGCTGATCGGGGATTACTACAGTTTGTGAGGTGAGTGAGCGTCAGCTGGGGAACTTGTACTTCTAGTAATGTAATAACTTTTTCTTTCGAGGAACCCATTAACAAGAAAACTTACCATCATCCTCGTCTTCAGGATTGATGGGCTGATGGTGTGGTGGGACATATATATCTTAACCATTCATCATAAATGTCAGAAATTTAATGGATCCATCTTCCAACACAAGCAAGCGCAGCATCAAGAAGTAAAACATACCATCATTCGGAAGTTTATCGCGGCAAAACTCCTATAATTTGGCCGCCATATCGTACCATACCACACTGTTAGATCTCCCTCCCATGATAGCAAACTCAGCCCGATACCGAGCTGTCTCCTCACGGATGGAGGTGGAGTGGGAAGAAACAGCTCTTACCTCAAACAAATCCGCCGTCCGTCCACTTGAAAGGTGCACATAAGTTCTTTTAGAATCCTTGGACTATCAAACACGAAAAAAAGAGAAAGAGAAAGAAAAAAATAGGTCGGCGTCAGTAATTGTTTGTCACAACCAGATCCCTAGTTTGGGATCTTGAATCCTAGGGTGGCAATAATGATAGATAGAGGGAGTAACTTAGGAATACCATTTTAACACTCTCAATCGGTGTCCCTGGGATAGAGTAAGGGGAAGCGGGGGGTATTCGGGAGTCTCAAGAGGAACCGAAGCAAAGGAGGTGTATCGTAGGGTAAAATATTATAGAGGGTATAGAATACGCTGTGTGCGGGTACAGTACTGCACTGCGCGGAACGGGGGGTTGTTGACTGATGGTCGGTTCGGTAGTGTCTGGGATTCCTTCCTGGGAGCTGGGGAGGGAAAGGCGTTGTTGTGTGGAAAAATATCTTATCGGCGATATCATCACACAAAGTGCAACAGTGCCAAAGCACAAGACGCGCCAAGCCAAAAAAGCAAACGATCCTGGCAGTTCATGATTCAGACCAAACCTCGGGCGCGTAGATTGGACAAAGTTAAGTATCATAGTAACCGTACGAGTAGTGCAAAAGGAACCCTGGTGCAAGGGTCCAAGTCCAATGTCAAAACCATATCATTATTCCCGTGAATAGCTAGCTACTCGAGTATGGGATTTGGCATTGGCCCACCCGTCATAGTAGAATACAAGAAATTTAGTATGGAATTTGACACTGTCAACCTGGCTTGCGTCTCACTCGTCTACAAACAAATAACCAGGAATGCCCCATCAAGTAGTGATTGGACGAAAGCAATGCTTCCCAATTGCTTATCCACTGGTTTAAGCTAGCATCGTTATGTTGTGCTGTCCTAGATTATGGGTGTTTTCTGGTCGGATGGAAATATAAAAATCTCTAACCCCTGCTCCCATAGAAAGTGCTGGGTGTCCCGGATTTTCACGCTATCCTAGCTCAAACCCCTTCATCACAGCTGCTCAAAGGCATAGCACTAGTATAACTTAATAGATGCTGTGGGTATGATAGTCTGTCAGGTCTACAGGAACGTTGCCCAAGTTGTTTATAGTTGGAAAGTACGAACCCTAAATGGTCCTGTCGTAGAGAGCAGGGTTTGTATTCCCGCAAAGGTGTTAGACTGAGCTTCTGTTCAATGGTGTAAAAATCCGTCCGCGATTGGTTGGTCTTGTTCGCTTTTGTCCTTCCTTGCCTATCAGACTGATACGTGCTAGCACCAAAAAATGTGTGCCAATAGAGAGGATGGGTACCATTCATAAAAAACTTGCACCAAGCCAGCGAGCAATCAATTCTTGACCCAAGAATCGGGAGGGCATCAACACAATATCTAAAAAACAATGTTTAGGTATGATGAAGGATGTAAGAGAAAGACCAAAAGACGTAGAATTTATCGGGGAATTACTCCCAATTGTATGCGGCGGAGTTGTGAGAGCAAGAGAAAAGAAACCTTATGATCCCAGTACGACCTCCTATCGAGATGGAGACGAGGCCCCAATTCCTTCCCTCGACTCCCAGCTTCGAAAGATGAAGAAAAAGGCTCATGAGAACCGAGGAAACAAGAACTCAAAATGTGACAAACGAAAACCCTAAACCCTAATGAACCCACCCTGCTCTTAACCCATCCAGAATCCCTAAGACCGGTACTTTTTGCGGGATTCACATGGACAATCACAACGAAGGAGTTGGTAGGGACTCGTCGCTGTTAAACGCTGAGTTTGTGTTGCTCATTGTGGAGAATACCGTTGGGAACATCTTGTATAGAATGCATCTGAACTGGGGTCGGGGACGGCATTCCCTCACTGTGCTTTCTTGGTCGACCTGTACGCTCTGCATCGCCGAGGGCAGCAAACAATGCGTTTACCGAGTCGTCTGTAGCCCGTTCCTGTGATGGTTGCTATTTTAGTAGAGGAAAAAAAATGGAAAAAGAAATTTGCTGGTATTTAAACCGTTCCGATTGGACGGAATTAAAAAGCGAGTGGAGGTAGGAGGAAGGAGGGGAAGGGTAGCGGGCAACAGGGAAGACGGAACGGATACTCGAGTAGTGATAAATCGAATAGCGCGATCTAGGATAGGTGTGATTCGTAGGATTTTGGTTGCAATTCACTCACCTTTGCTCTCTGGCAAATCTTTTTCGCGGTGTCTGGATGAACCAGAAATTTTGTGGAAATATCAACCCAATTCATGTCGGTGAAGAGGTGCAGGGCGAGGATTCCTGCCCGGATAGGTATCGGAGTCTCTGGTCCTCGAGGCATTGTGCTTTGTGTTTTGCCGTGTTTTCAGAATGTGTATTGAACTATTTGAATTGATTGAGTTCTGACCGGTGTCAATATTATATGGTTTTCAATATTGCATCCCAATGGGGGCTGTAAAAGGAATGCACAAAGGGCGCGGAAATCTCCGGTGGGAAACCGAGAAATATAGTGAAAAGGGAGGAGGAAACTCACCAACAGTGCATATACTCTACTTTTTCCGAAAAGGCGCTCTAAATAAACCCCAAAGTCCTGCTACAAAATATCAGCCCGGTAGAGTAGGGGGGAAGGGGGGCTACTTAAACCGGAATGAAACTTAGCTACTCGTACAGGTACAGTACGGCGTTTTCGCAATCTCTACTCACAGCTCGTCACGACTCCAATGACCTCATCTTCGTAACCCTTGACAGTTTTTAGCAACCGTTGGGCAGCTACGACGGACTGGTGGGGTTTCATTGGGGGTTACAGTAGTTGTGATTTGGAGATATAGTTGGTGCCGGAGTTTGCAGTCTGGGAGATTGAGAGCTTGTTTGGACCCTGCACTCATCTACTTGCTGTGTTTCCCCTTCCTACCTAGCTCACCTGGCCTGCCTGTCTCTGCCATGTAAGAAGAAAGAAACAAGCCCTGTGAGAGTGAGAGATCCCCGCTCCCCTCACGTGACTAGGAGGAAGTTAGCTCCGGAACCATTTATTAGGGATGAAAACACGGTCAGTGATAACAAAACCGTGGGAAGCGGCGGCGAGGTAAACCATCCTGTTATTCGATACTGCGCAGCAAGTTACATGTAAATGAGTGATCAAATTGTTCCTTCCCTCATGGCATGACAGATGCATCATGGTCTACCCGCACCGCACAATATGGGCACTATACTGTGCCCCAAGTGGTAACTGACTTTTGGCGGGGGGAGTGGGGAGTAGGTAGGGGGAAGGGATATGAGGAGAAGGATAAATGTGATCAATGGAAAGACGCTTTCTCAAGCCTTCACATCCTCCATTTCATCAGAGGTGTACTTTTCCTAAAGGCCTCTGACGTCGTCTTTGCCAATGCATCGTACAAGCAGAAAAGGTGAAGATTCACGGAAATTTTTGGAGCTGGCCATCAGGGAATGCGGTGACACTGCAGGAAGCTGCATTTTGAGAGTTGCGAACGGAAGCGTCCAAGTTAGTTTACAATGCAAATGTTCCATCCCTTAAACCGCTGAGACTTTCCAGTCCATTTCGCTAGCCAGAACACTAGCCTGTTCGAGTAATCGTGACCACATCTACTATGGCAATCCTATTTTAAGTCGTTTCTTACAGTGTCTCGGTGAACAGTACGGTACTAACTGTACGAGTACTCGTACGGATATTGCCGTGTTCTGAGCGCTACGGCGATACCGAGTCCTCGAGTGTTTTCTATCCCGCTTACTCGAATAGGCTCGCGTTCTTGGTTGCAAATGGGACTGGAAAGTCTCATCGGTTTAAGGGAGAAGGGGGCACCATGGGCCAGATGAAAAGTCAAAGAGATGAAGGACTGGTTTGGGATATCGAGATGGGTTGCTTTAAAGCTGTGCGTTGTATCATATTATGAGTAGATCCCAGAGAGTTCTATGATAATCTCATGGTAGACTCCTGGCTGCCAGAACGACCCAACTATGGTAGGCTGTCGTGCAATATCATTCTGGTACGGGTTTCTACCTGCAATGGGCAGGATTCGATCCGTATTCAATGATCTCTATCTCCCGCCATAAATAGTTGCACTTGGGGAGATGCGCCATAGTTGTCAGCGGTTTTGTGGAGCAGGATCAAAAAACCGAGATTTCATTAAAATTGACTGGTACTCTACTAATACTGTGCGACTGAACTTCGATTCTGACAACACATTAACCAAATCAGAGATTTGACAATAGTTGGTGGAACCACCCATCCAGAACATCGCCAGAATCGGATGTCTGGAGTTGAAAATATGTCCAACACATGCGGTTTTCCTCTCGATGAGATCTTTCTAATATTTACTCACTTTGTATGATAATTGGTGAATGCACTCGCAGAATTAGACAGACAAGGCTGCTCTACGAGTAGTTTGCGATCCTGGATGGGCCACCTAGCAACAGTTTCTTGTGCTCTTCACGGATTTCATTTCCGGCACGGTCCCCACCTTCAGGGGACTTGGTTCTACTCGTGCCTTATGCACGCGTTTAGAGTGGTGGGCGATTGCAAATCTGGAACACCTCGACACCTGAGTTCTAGTTTGACTTCCCTTACGTTGGGGCAAGGACAATGGATACAATAATCAATCGCGATGCCCAATGAGAGCAGTCATCTTTTTGTTTTACCATGCTTCTTCCCACCCTTACCGCCACGGCCACCCCCCGACCCACTACGTCCTTCAATATCCATAACATCTCTCTTGCTCAGCACTAGTGCACCCCCCTTGAACCTCCCAATGCTAGGTCCAAAACCGCCCCGGTCTTGCCGCTTCTTGCTGATCTTCTTCCTCGTTGTATCCCTTTCCAAGACGATACCTGCTTCCTTGGCGTTCTTTCTCCGCTTCAATTCCCTCTCCTCCCGAGCAGCGGCTATCCCTTTACGTATGGCCATGGGCACGTTCTTCTGGATTGTGATGTCCTTGCCCCCTAGGGCTTGTATTCGTGACTCCAAAGCTTTGAGGCGGTTCTTGCCAGTAGCTTCAAGCTTGCCGGAGGTAGAGTCTAGTAAGTGAGATTCGCGGAGTAACCTCTGGAGTGCTAAATCATTCTTTAGCATCTCTGCCTCAGAGCGGGGATCTTCCTCATCATCTGAGCTTTTCTTCGATTTTGTGGGAAGAGTAGTGGAGGAGGAGGCCGGTAATGGTGGTTTAGATGACTAGATGAAGGTTAAGAAACTATAGAGCCATAGACCGAGTAGAAGACAAACCATAAAGTATTTCAATTCACTGCGCGGAGCTTTGGGAACGGATCGCGGAACGTCTTTGGTAGCATCGAACCCGATAACCACGGGGACTAAGACTCTCAACATCGTTAGTAATTTTTACAGAGAAAGAAAATTAGAGCAGTAAATCTGGCAAGCCCACCATTTTCGATCAATCCATCATCTTCGATGCCCTGTATTCCCTCCCATTCCTGATCGCTCAATTCCTCTTCTGTCTTCTCCGGGAGCGCCTTGTATTTCTTTGAGCTCAGCTTTTCCCTTGTGCCTCTGAGTGGTGCGAACTGGCTCTCAAAATGCCGTCGGAGCGCATCCATCCGATCGGTAGCGGATTTGCTGCTAAGTTCAATCTCACGTTTTCTCTTCTTGTCAGACATGGTGGCGTGCTGCGGTATATCCGTTCTTTTAGTGCACGGAAGCGGAGTGTTGGAGTTTTTTTTTTGGGTCTTTTGTTTTCGGTTTAGCGGGACCCCAAATAATAAGCTGGCTTGGCGGATCACCTCTATCTGTTGCGGCTTAAAATCCCAATTCGATGTCAACCGCCACTTAGCCTGAACCAATCCAATTCTGTGGGGTCCTCTCATTTCTTACATTTATTTTATATCATACCTTTATTATTCTCGGTTTAGATGTCCGCTACCCCAGCAAAAGTCAAAAGCCTGGTCGATGAGCTCATCCAGTCCGTCACAGGGCTAACTGCACAGGTTTTTGCCCTAGGTTACCTCTCTCTCGGTGGTTCTATCATGATTTCTGACGGGATCTGCCTACAGGAGGACCCGGAGAATTTTAACCTCTGCCGAGTAAGTGTCCACAGTATTTCTATTTCGCCGGGGCTCTGGAATAATCGTAAAACAAGGATTTCGCTCTCCGCAATTTCCGGGGATATAAGTTTGGGCGGACAAACCAATTTGATGTAACGTCGAAGCTTGATGGGTAATAAGTCCGCTTCATTGATCGGTTTATTCTAACAAATAATCTAGTCTTGAAGAGAAATTTCGTGTCTTCAACCGGGATGATCTGGCCGATGCTTTTCGTTCTAGGCTCGAGGAGCTACCCTCCTTGACCTCCGGCTTCACCCCTGAAATCCTTTCGCTTTTTCTGTCTTTGTCTGATAGGCCTCTCCAAAACTCAAAGATCTCCGATCTAGAGCTTCTCGCAAAATCGGATGCTCCTAAGGAGCCCACATGGGAGGATATTATTGCCGACGACCCGATGGTAGGAGAGATATGGGAGGACGTGGACTTCGGAGCTGAGAGTAGCGACGAATGGTCCGACGATGGTTATACTAGGCCAAGGTCACGAGATGGATTTGTCGAGAGCCTGAGGAACCAGGCCGAAGATAGGAGGAGGAAACCACAAGGCACCGGGGATGGAGAAGCTAGATATAAGGGTTCAGGAGTTGAGGGATTCATAGTCCAGGCAGATGAAAAGGGGCTTGAGTCATTGAAAAAAGCGCAATACTGGAGCGAGGGGGTACTGCCTGTTGAGCGGGAACTGGATGTTTCCCTTGCATCTGGCGGAGGTACGGCATCTTGCGTCACCCACTATCACTCTGCCATATTCTGTGGTTGGTTTGAGAGAGCGGGAATAATTCGCTGACGCAATAAATTTGGCATAGTCAATAATATCTCACTCGTATCAGAGCTCCAAGCCATGCGAGAGGTTATTTTCATGCTGTTAGGATATCCTTGTCTACTCTTCCAAAGAAAACCTAACGATACAACTATTCTAGTAAATACAGATAGTGTGACAAAACACTTTGCGCTGAGTCATGCTTCACTGCCTGCATTTAGAGCTATTCTTAGCTGGTATGCAGGTAAAGGGACAAATATCAATGTTATCCGCACCTTCGCACGATCCAAAACCTCCACCACGAACTTTCCCGAGCGCCAAACCTTCGTCGCATCTGTTTGTGATAAGCTTGCCATCCTCGATCAGCACTTAATCAAGCTGGAGGAGCTTCTATTGGTGGGGAGTAAAGGCTTAGATCAAATAGTCTCGTTGCTGGCGCTCCAGGGCGAACTAGAACCCTTTCTCACTCCCTTTGACCTCCTCTCGGATATCATAGCCAAACTTCCCCAGACAGGAAAGCCTCCAGCTGATCTGGCACTACAGCACTTAGAAAGCCTCTTCCAGCTAGCGTGTAGGCTACAGTCCACGGGCGACCAAAAATCTTTCAAGTTTATAATGGACATATTTTTCAGCTGTCTGCAAACGTATTTGCGCCCTATCCATCAATGGATGGAATCCGGCGAACTCCGCAAAGATGACGAAGTATTTCTTATATCTAAAACCCGCAGCGATGAGGAGGTCGAACTAGGAGGTCTATGGAGCGATCAGTATTCCCTGAGAAAGGATGTGTCCGGAGTGCTAAAGGCACCTGAATTCGTCCACGCAGCCGCAGCGAGAATATTTATCACCGGCAAAAGTGTCGTTTTCCTAAAACGGCTTCTAGAACACGGTATACCAAGTTCTGCCCTCCCACTCCAACCACAGCCTGTCAACAGAATAGACGTCAACCTCTCTACAGCTTGCAAGAGCGGCGAGTACCTCGCACCCTTTTCGGATATGTTCGCCGCAGCATTCGACAAATGGATAAACGACCGTCACCATTCAGTCTCCTCTCGCCTGAGAGATATATTATACCAGGACTGCGGTCTATGGAAGAGCTTAGATGCAATTGAGCACATATATCTTTGTAAAAATGGTCATCTCTTTGACACGCTCTCACAGGCGATGTTTGAAAAAGTTGATAAGGGTGTGCAGACATGGGGGGATCGGTTCCTGCTCACGGAGTTACTGCAGGGGATATACGGGGGTGTCGGATGTGTGGAGGTCGGCAGGATGAGGATGAGGGCTAAACCGGAAAGCACAAAATCCCTTCGAGAAAGAAGAAGGACTGTCAAGATGTGGAAGAGCCTTGAATTGAGTTACGCTGTATTCTTCCCAATCTTGCTCCTTTGGTGATCCAGTACTGACCGAGTAGCTACCATGGCCGATAATGAACGTCATTCGTAAGGAATCATTTGACGTGTACAACAACATATTCTCGTTCTTACTACAAATACGGAGAGCAAAGTACGTGCTCGAGCGACTCACACTATTAAAAGAGGATTTTAGAACTCTAGGTGAGAGTGGGGAGGGCGCTATGTACTACTCCTTGAAGCACAGACTCTTGTGGTTTGCGAACATAATTTATTACTATCTCACCAATTCGGTTCTTAGTCACCATCTCATCAGATAGGTATCTCAGCTAATACTAATGCCAGGTCCTAATTCCACAAACAACCCATATGAGGCAGGAAATGGCAAGAGCGGTGCATGTAGACGGCATGATACAAGTGCATAACACCTACATCCAAAAGACCAAAGAACAATGTCTGCTGGGGGCAAAGGTACCAATCCCCTTCCCCTCCCTCCCGCCTGCACCACCCACTAAGTCTAACGATAAAACAGCTGGCGCCAATCCACCAGGCAATAACCTCGATTCTCGACATCTCAATCTTCTTCTCGGACGCTCACCTTGCGCATAGCACTGCACTAAAAACCCTCGACGCCCCCAACGCCTCAATTCACGATATCTCTGTCTTCATCTCATCCCACAACCCCCGTCGTCGCCACCGCCGTCGCCAACATCAAACAGGAGAACCCTACGACTACAACGACATCTCTGACTCGAACTCCGACTCTGAAGATTACGTAGAAGACAATTTCGAGGGCATGAACTCGTACATATCTTTCGAGAACGAAGCGTATGCGCGGCAGATCGGGCACATGAGCGAGAGGTTTAACACCCTGCTTGAGTTTGTGCGAGCCGGCCTGAGAGGTGTCGCGAGGGCGGGTGTGATGCCGCACTTGGAGGTTCTGGCTGAGAGTTTGGAGGGGCCGGGGAGGGGTGGTGGCACGTGATTGGTTCACTGGCCGATGGGTCGGGAGTTTTTCTTGTCCCCTTTTTGTATAATAAGGTGGCCAGGCCTCCAAGTAATTGAGGTAGCCGAGGCTTCGGCTACGATGTTCTTACAATCAAACCATATATCACATGCCGGAGAATACCCACTCCGCCCGGCCCTACTCGCATAATATCTAAGAATATTGAACCGACTACTCGCAGCAACGAGGCTGGCCAGCTCTCATATAGTCACAAAAGCTCACTCGCAAAAGGTGAACAGCGCAAAATCACAAACACTGGCGTTGGAATAATCGAAAAATCTGATGCATCACATTGGCGTGAGTAACCTATGAGAGAAACACTTTTAGAGATAACACCCCGATTCCCGAATTCCCTGACCTTTAAGAAACGGATGAAAAAAATGAAGGAAAAGATAAAAAATCTCCGTGTAAGGTGAACACCCAGCCCAGCTCGCACTATTTTTGGTAACTTTTAGAGAAATTTTTATACAAGGGGGTCATTTACCACACTGCAAAAGAATAAACGACTCAAAACTAAGTTCATTTTGCTTGCTCCCCACGAAAAGAAGCTTAGCAGCACTTGGCTGCGTCCTGGTCCAACTCGGTCCTCAATTTCTTCGCAGCAGGCTCACCAGTGTCCGCTGCTGCTTCTTGGATTCCCGGAGCAGGATGATCGATACCCTTGAGGAGAGGCTGGTTATTGCCAGTCTTGATATTGAAGTGGTATTGGCGGATGATACCGTCGCTGTATTTTGCGATCGAAACGTGAGCACAATGGGGAAGAGAGAAAGAGGGGGAATTCATACACGTCGTCAACATTCAACGGACGAACATCAGCCAACTGCTTAATCTTGGCAGTGCACTCCTTGCACTGGGCGTCCGTCATGTCCAAATCCAACTGCTCTACACGACTTTTGATGGCATTCCATCCGGTCAGCCTTGATGCGAAATGGACGTATCGGGTGATTCCGAAATCGGCCGGATTAATGATCTCATAGGTGCTTGGGTTGGCCAGGATGGCTTTGGCATGGATTCCAGCTTTATGGGTGAAGGCGCAGAAACCGGTGATGTAGTTGTTGAACGGAATGTTGACCTCGACGGCCTCTGCAACAAGGTTTTCAAGGTCACGAAGCTATTGACGTGGATGTGTCAGATAAGCTCTCGAGGCACGAATCCACAATAAATTACCTTATGAAGCTTATATTTGCTGGTCACATACTCACGATCAGCAACGATCATCCTGGCCATAAGTCCTCCTAAAGGAGTGATTCCGTTTCTCTCGCCAATGCCAAGAACACTAGTGTCAATATGGGTGGCACCAGCTTCGAGTGCACAATAGGCATTGGCAACAGCGCAGCCGGTGTCATTGTGGAAGTGAGTTTCAATATCACACGAGACAACACCTCTGAGTGTGCGAACGAGATCGTAGACTTGCCTGGGCGAAGCACAGCCAACGGTATCGGCAATGCCCTAATGATGCACTATGAGCCACCACGCTTTGGTGGAAGGCACGTCTTCACATGCAAAACTTACCACACGATTCACGCCAATCTGGTCGACAGTACGGTAGATGCTCAGAAGGTCGACAAGCTCGGAACGAAAAGAGTCTTCGCTTGAGAAACGAATCTCGATATTGTGCGATTTGACAAACTCGATGACCTCGATGGCGGTCTTATGGATATAATCCATATCCTTGCCGTGAGAGTGCTCGCGGAGGAAGGAGGAGGTTCCGATGACGACGTCTCTGTCAAAAGAAGCGGTCAGCAAGTGCGCGGGGTATTGGAAAGAGCCGGGGAAACCTACACTCCGTCAACACCCGTTTGAACAGCAACCCGGGCATCGTCCATATGACAGCGGATATGTGTCAAGATCTGTATTTCGAATAAATAGGAGCTTCTTTAATGCAAACTTTGCAGCACTAGACAAACCTTAGCCTTCAACCCAAGCTTGCAGATAGCTTCGCAGTCAAGTCTAGACTGCTCTGAAGCGGCAGGACTAGTCAACTCGATCTACGTTTATAAAAACCACGGGTCAGCCCGGGAACCGAAAATCGAACCCAATTACCAGCCTTGGTTCTCTGTGAAAACCTATTCTTGCACAAAGAACGGCCAGGTTCATCATTGACCACAATTGAGTGCGGAAATGAATCGCAGCACAAAAAAACAAACCTGGGTGGAGGGGTGATAAATGTGGGGTGGTAGATCATACGTAATCAACACCGAAATCGTCCAAGGCTTTAGCAATCTCAATCTTCTTAGCAGTATCAAAGAAAGCATTGGCAAATTGTTCACCCTCTCTCAGGGTACTCTCAATGATTTTGAAAGAGTTGACATTGCTGAGGAAATCCGGGACCGGCTGGTAGGGATTTCGAGAGTTTAGGTGGGGGCCATGTCGGCCCGAGATAGGCTGAAAGTCTTTCTTCTCTATTTCGTTAGGGGTTGTTAGCGGGCGAGACAGGGCAATTGGGAACGGTAGACCGATTTGTTTTGTATTTTAATTGAGCAGGTAAAAAGGGTACCGGATCATGAAGGGGCCTGTATACCATTGCTGCTCGGTGAGCCATTCCCGCTTGCTGCTGGAGGCATGTTTAGCTGGGCTTAAGGAAGAGCAGGAGGAAATGGTTTGATGACGGTGGTAGGAGTAGAATTGGCCCAAAGTGTGTGTTTGTTTAGGCGGAGGTGTAGTGGGGCGTGATTAAATCCCTTTGACAGAATTGGAGAAAAAAAGCTGAGAGAAGGGGACTTTTATAAAGAGGAGGGGAGAAGGGGAGAAGGATGACTCGACGGGCGCTGGAGCTCTTCGGAGGGGTCTCTTTTTCTGTCCACTTTTTCCACTTTCTTCGCTCTTCACTCTCAGATTTTCTTTTTCTCACCTTACCTACTCTCACTCAGCTAAGGGTTAGGGAAATAGCCAACAGTTGGCCTGCCGAGTGATGAGCCCACGACGCCCAACCAACCTATCAACCACTCGTCTGCCGGCACAACATTCGATGGTGAAATTGATAGTGCAAAAAGTCTAGTAATTACAGTCTTCAACGGCACGGGGAAAGCCGGTGAGTGAAGAACGGGAGCGAATAACTCGGCAGGCGAAAAAGTGCGTTCATCAAAGTAGGGTAACTAATCATCCCCATTTCGGTACTGTACTAGTCCAGTACGGTACTCATATGATAACTTACCCTTCTGACTTCTTCAAACCCACCAATACCAGTACTTCTTACAGAATAATCTTGAGGACTTTGAGTGGACCTTGAGTGGATCCCGTCACTAGTTGAGTAGACCCCCCAGCACTCGTTGCCCACAGTGTCGAATCCATGACACGATTTGGCTCGAATTCCGCTTACCCACTCATTGGAGTAGACCACCGGTCCTGTACCGGTACTGCCGTATTTCGTTCTAAGAAATGGGGTTCGAAGGTCCTTCCCCAATGTGACACAGCATCAAGTAGACTACTCGAGTATTGTGGTCCGTACCGGTATGTGTATGTGGTCTTGGTATCTGCTTGTACTGTACGAGTACAGTACGGTGCGGCAAATAAACCGGGATAACCTGTCATTCTCCTGTTCGGATCTGTCCCTCAATCTAGAACAGATCCCTCGTCTTGACCCAGGGAAAAAGAAAAAGAAAAAAGCGGGGTTGCACTTCCGCTTACTCAGCCCTGCAAAAGCCAAAGCACTGGCTCGAGCTCCGCAATTGGAGAGAAAAGATTTACCAATACTCGAGCACTAGCCGATTTCAAAAGTATCCGGACAACTTGGCGCCAAACCTCATACAAATTCGCGCCAAGGTGTCCGGATACTTTGGAAATCGGCTAGTTTGTTGCTATCGTAGGCACTTGTCCTGTTCTACATATATTACGCTAGCTTGTATCAAGATAGAATTGTTATTACTAAGCACCTATATGAAGTTTGCCTAACATATATAATCATAAGCTCTACAGAAGAGTTTCCTCTACTTTTCATCTACCGTGGGAACTTCCCTCTTGGCACAATTCACTTGAGCAGCATTACACACTTTTCATGTTGACTGTGCTTTGAAGTATGTACGTAGACCAATAGGTAGATATTAAATACACTTACTTACACAGAAGGTACACATCTTTGTAAACTTCAAGGTATTTTTAGCAGGGCATCTTGTTGGGAACATCCGTGTCTTGTCGGGAGTCACCGGTTCCTTGTTGCTCCTGGTCTAACTGTACAAACCAAAATCTAACGAAAAGAGTACCGACACCTGTGCACTCATGCCCACGATGTTCCCCTAACATCTAGTGTAAATTTATCGCAAAGTCTCGGCAGTCTTCAGCCGGAGGATTTTTGGAGCTATTTACTAGGTAAAAAAACGCAGGTATGATATCCCCAACAGCGAATTCCATACCGTAGAGGGTTACGATATCAAAAAAAGAGGGGCTTGTGTCTTGTTGTCTAGGGCTAGAGTTGATGGGATAGTCTACGGTATCATACGAGTACCGGTGCCTCAGGGTGCTAGACCTATTTCTACGAGCATCATGATACAATCACCTCTCAAAAGTATTGTCCCACTTTCTAAAACCCCACTAGCGAGTGCCTAAACATGGATAATTAACCAACATTAGCCCATTTCTATATACAATAAAATATTGTAAAGACAAACAGACAATTTGTATAAATTTATTTTATCATCTTATCATTTAACAGAAATAGCAAAATTTTCATATTTGCAGGAGCTGTACCTGGATCTATCTACTCGTACACATACTGTAGTATGGCTGAAAGCAAATCCCTACTGAAGTTAGCCAAATTTGTATGGGGGCTTGGCATTCCATGGCCATTGCATGGGGATATGTGTTGGCCTTGTAGGATAAATAAATAAAAGTAAAGAAAATTTATAAAAAGCTTTTCCTTGTAAATATCTACTCTTGATAATTTTAATAATTTTCTTTATTATTTTTTCAGCTAATGAATATACTGACTTTTGCGGGAAAACGGGATGGGACAATACTTTGACATAAGAGTTTATCTAATCAAATCGTCCGGGTAACTGGCCCACCCTACCGGCGCTCGCTAGTGAGAAAGCCCACTAACTTACCTTCCGCCTGCTCCATCTACAATTAGACAGACCCTTGAGGCAACCGACTGTCCCGCTGTCAGCAGTTCTAACTGACACCTATTCTTTTTTCCGGCATATTTAAGACACCTTCTCCCCGGTCCCTCATACATTTCCTCTGTTCCTCGGCCTCCTCCTTCACCTAGAAGTGCTTTTTGAATCCAGACCTTTCAAGTACTCGAAGTTCCTAACCACCGAAAACCTCCACCATGTATGGCCACACTCGGGAATATCCTAGAGGGGTGGCAGCAGCTCAACCAAGGGCGTTTAGACTCACCAAGAGTCCTAATGAGCAGTTTATCGTTACGAATTTGTAAGAAAATCGACTTTCAAACAGCGCAAACCTTAGAGCATTCAAAGCTGATCTAAGGGCTTTCTACGGTTTAATAGTGTTGCCGTTTCTCCACGAGATTTTCCTCGCGAGCAATATGTCATCTGTGATGGCCGATATATCCTTACAGTTCAGCCCATCAACACCATAGAGCCTGGATATGCCGGATTCTCTTCTGCTCACAGAGACTGGGCCCAGTGGAGTTTGACCGACCGTATCAATATTGTCCCTTTCGACCCGTTCGCTCAAGGCAAAGCTCCTTACTTAGGGAGCTTGGACCTGGAAATTGGATTCGCTGCTAAGAAAATAAGTGATGAAAGTTATGACCAGGACGACCTCACCAAGCTTTTTATTAGGGTATAAACTCTTCATTCTTTGACTCATTCTCCCCCCGCCCCCTCCCCCACCCTCTCCTGGAGGTCGGGTTTTGTAATAGTTAGTGAAGCTTACCTATTCCCAACCAGAGTTTTCAAAACCAAATCTTTGCTCCGGGGCAACGAACGATAATGGATGTTAGGAACATCAAAGTTCTAATCGTCGTCAAAACTGTACAGATAGTCAGGCTTTCTGACAATCAATCTGCTTTGCCCCCTGATGCACCAACAACCTCCAATCCTTCAGACCACGGAATCTTGACTCCTCACACCTACATCACATTTTACAAAGATGCGAAATCCCCAATCAAGATCAAAGGCTCCAATAAGCGACCAGCAGCCAATGCTATCATACAACCCAACTTTAAATTCGAAGATATGGGCATTGGAGGTCTTGACACAGAATTCTCTCAAATCTTTCGTAGAGCTTTTGCATCTCGAATATTTCCACCTGGGCTCGTGGAAAAACTTGGAATCCAACACGTGAAGGGTATTTTACTCTTTGGGCCCCCTGGTACGGGTAAAACCTTGATCGCTAGACAGATCGGTAAGATGTTGAACGCGAGGGAACCTAAGATTGTTAACGGTCCCGAAATCTTAAATAAGTATGTTGGGCAATCAGAGGAAAACATCAGAAAGTTGTTTGCGGATGCGGAAAAGGAGTACAAGGAAAAGGCCGAAGATAGCGGTTTACATATCATCATATTTGACGAGCTGGATGCTATCTGCAAACAAAGAGGAAGTAAGAACGACGGAACTGGGGTTGGCGACTCTGTTGTGAATCAGCTACTCTCGAAGGTATATTTCATGCCACTTCACCCACCCATACTTGCTGACAAGAACGGTGCCCCAGCTCGATGGTGTTGATCAATTGAACAATGTCCTGATTATTGGTATGACAAATCGTATGGACATGATCGATGAAGCCCTTCTGCGTCCAGGCCGTCTCGAAGTACACATGGAAATTTCCCTCCCTGACGAGTTTGGCCGCCACCAAATATTGAAGATTCACACAAACAAGATGAGGGAAAACAATGTTATTGATTCTGATGTTGATATTCAGGAGCTCGCCGCAAAGACAAAGAACTTTTCAGGAGCCGAGATCGGTGGATTGGTTAAGAGCGCTAGTAGTTTTGCATTTAACCGTCATGTGAAGGTTCGAATTATGTCTGCCTTTGGGTGATTGGTCCCTAATCTACTTATAGGTTGGAACTGTTGCCGGAATATCGGAAGACATCGAGAACATGAAGGTTAATCGCCAAGACTTCCTTAATGCGCTCGACGAAGTTCGTCCAGCCTTTGGAGTTTCTGAAGAAGAACTTGAACAAGCAGTCCAGGGTGGTATTATCTGCTATTCACAAAATATCAACTCCATTCTTGCAGAAGGTCGCTTGTTTGTTGAACAGGTCAGAAAGTCGGAGAGGACGCCACTCGTGTCGGTCCTGATGCACGGGCCTCCTGGGTCTGGGAAGACAGCACTAGCCGCCTCAATAGCGAAAGCTAGCGAGTTCCCATTCATCAAACTTGTATCCCCAGAATCCATGGTTGGATTCAACGAAATGAGCAAAGTTAGCTACTTGAGCAAAGTCTTCATGGATGCCTACAAGTCCCCACTCAATATTGTCATTGTCGATAATGTTGAGCGAATTCTTGAATTTGTTCCTATTGGGCCGCGCTTTTCCAACCCTGTTCTCCAGACTCTACTTGTGTTGCTCCGCAAACAGCCACCGCAGGGCCGACGGCTTCTGATTATTGCAACAACCACTGAGAGATCTGTGCTGGCTCAGATGGACTTTCTCAACGCCTTTGATGCTGATATTGCAGTACCGAACGTCGCAAACCACAACGAGCTCGGCCATATTCTGCACGAGCTACAGGCATTCAACTCGGATGGCGAAAGGCAACAAGTCTTGCGTGATCTCCAGAGTACTACCCGAACCAAGCAGCTCAACGTTGGCATCAAGAAAATTTTAATGGGTGTCGAAACGGCGACCCAAGATGAGGATATGGCGGGAAGGTTTGTGAGCGTGATTAGTAGAGCTGTTGGAGAAAATGGGGCAGGTTTGCAGGGCGGCGAGTCCGGATTGTATTGATGGATATTAGATAAACCCGGGTATCACGCTGGTTGCGGGGGGGGGGCGAGCGGGAGCTGGGTAGGCGCGATATAAACTTCCCGGGTTCCGTAGAATATTGATAAAACAAGTTACCGGGGATTGAAAGAGATGTATTGGTGGCCAGTGTATTTGTTCCCTCCTCCGTGGGCCCACGTAACCAGTTCAGGAGGAACATGGCAGGACTAGTGCGGGGACCAGTCGGCTTTCGGGTCTTACGTTCCTCTAGCTACATGGATCTTTCTATGCCCATCTCGGCCTTAAGGTAGAAGAGAACTCGTGTGAATATCAGTAGAATCACTGGACTGGAGCCTGGTGGTGATCAACCGACGTCGCCGTGAATCGATGTGTGAAAGGTCAGAAGAAAATATAGGGGAGGGGGTGGTGGGGTTGACTTGCTCGAACCCTTGGGCGGTATAAACAGGTCCCTAATATACGTAAAACCTTTGATAGGTTTTTCATAATATTATCATACAACGGCATACATCTCTTTGACCCACCTTGTGGAAGGATATCATAGATGGTGATATCTAGCGGACACCGGGTCTAGCGTGTCGGGTGATCAACCATGTTTGTGATACAACAAGCTGGTATGATATCATAGCAAACACAGCGAGATCGGGGGGGTTCACCCCCGGTAGTCTAACCGCCTTACGAAGGCCCTTTTAGGGCCAGTTTGGTTGTGATGGTTCCGTTCCGTTTTGCGACCGTTTCCCATAATTATAAGAATTGTCATCCTTCGGTTTTGAAACGGTCCACCGCATGGGACAAGGGAACAGAACCATCACAGCCAAACAGACCCTTTTTTAAAAAAAATCAAAAAAAGACCTGTGACATTCGAGTTATGCGTGTGCAAGCAGCAGCTCTGCGAAGCTAGACCCCTCCGGACGTAAATTAGTACAACGAGGTGAAGGGGGGTTTTTATCCGTCTGCCGTGTCCCAAGGAGAGCACACTACTAATATCCAGGGATTGCCATGTCCGGTAGCATAGGCTGGATCTCGTGGTGGTATTTATTGTTGGATTTGGCTTACGTATGATACAGTAGTCCACCATTTCTTTGTCCGGTCGTTGGCGGTGGGGTGCGTCACTCGCTGCTGCGCTGGCGGATACATCCCGTACTCAAAACTGGCCTCTACGCATTTTGTTTTAGGGTTGGGTGGATATCGCCGGGGGGGGGGGGTGGTATGATAATCGTTTCCCGGGAAAAATTGTTGGTGAGCGAGTGATCATTGAGCACGGGATGTGTTGTATCGGGATATGATGATGGCTGGGCAGAATGCTGCAGCGGTGACTAGGATGGGCATAAGAGAGACCTTGCGCTTGTGCCCCGGAAGTCCTTCGTTCAGCCGTGGCGCTCATAGAAGAACGGTGTAGGATATCTTGTTGTCCGCTTGTTACGCGATGTAGGGTGACTATGATAGACGTGATATCATTCTGTCAAATCTACGGCCTGGATAGGGAGGGAGTGAACATGTGAAGCTGAGGGAGAAATATATCGTAATGGAAAGGGAAACATCATGTTATATATATATATATCAAGAACGGGTTGTGTTTCAAACTCTGCTCTACTCTCGTGTTCAGAGTAAAGTTGGGGGCAACACTATAGACTAACTCCACCCTATTCCCACGCAGTTCGCCGCAATTGTGCTGGAGTCTTCTGATGCCACGAGCAGATTTGGCAAAGTGCCCGTTCGCCTTCTTGCCCTCTCTCGTGAGCTCGTGCGGGGGGCGGGGGTATAGGATAGATCTCTGGGTCTCGGAAGAAACAATCGCAACTGGAGTACCAGTAAGGATTTAGAAACCAGGCCACTGGTTTCACATGTGCGGCCAAAAGTCCCTAAGCTAGACTGTGTAGCTTGAAACGTTGATAAAATATAACTGGCGTGCTACACAACTATGATATATTCAATCATCCCGTTCTACTAATTGCGCGAGACTTTCGGGTCGGGCGCCGCAAGTGTGCCCCGGTACGGTGCAGGAAAAAACTAGGTGGCAAGGCCAGACTCGGGAGCTCGAAAGCCGGTGTTTGCTCCCGTAGGGGTTAAATCACCACAGTACCTGTATGGAATTTTCCTCATTTAGGTCTTCTTCGTGCAAATTTTCGTTCCTTCCCGGCTCTCGTTGCCCTACCTTTCCCGACTTGTCGTGCTTTCGGCGGGTGGTGGGGGTCCGCTCCCGGCAAGGAAGCAAGCAAGCAAGCAAGCGGGAAAGAAAGAGAGAAAGAAAGCGTTCTCGGGAAATGTTGGGTTGTGGGTATGACGGTTACAATCTGATGGTCCAGGAATACGAGTAGACTACTCGCGCGGCCGAGTTGCTATCGGACACCTATATGGAGTAGTGATCGGCGGACCAATAACAACCATATGCCAGGCAACATACTTATTAATCATATATGGTACAAGAAAACCAGATAATTCAACCATTGAAATTGTTATTCCCATGGTGAAGTATCACCCTTTGAAGCTTCTCATGAAATTGTTGAAACAGTGAGAACGGAATGATGGTTTTGGAACTGGTTGAGTGACGAGAAGAATAATGAATTGCTTAATTGACTTCTCAGTAGAGAGCAAACTACCCAGACTATCTACTGTTGAGAGCGAGACACAAGTTGCGAGTAAATCAACAGTAGGAAGTAAACAGAAACAGAGAGAAGAAAAGAAAGGCAAGGAGGTATGTTCAATAGTACCAATATTGTAAGGGGGTTTTGAGATGGCGATCAAGACTAATGTAAGGAGAAAATCAATAGTGCGAGTGATACTACGGTAGTGCCAGAAGCATATTTCAACAGAAATGATTGACACTTTTAGTCAATCACAGCCTGAGGAAGTGCTTCCCAAGTCCTTGCAAGTGCCTCCTTCGCTTGCTCAACAGCCATCCTACTAGCTCCGACAAGCTGCCATGTAGAAACTTCATCCTTTTGGTAGTCCCAAATGGGTTCAATTTGATTCAAATCTGGTGACTTGGAGGGCCAATCTAATGTAAAAATACCTGATAACTGACGTTCATCATAATCAATTCACCGTGCCATTTGGTGACTAGGTGCATTGTCCTCAACTAACTATAGTTGTGGCACTCCACGTATTTCTCTGATGGACTTCATCCAGGGATAAAGCTTCGGTTGTAGAACTCATTCCCGATATGATACCCAATTAATTCCCCCCTTACTTGTAAATCCTAGCTCCACCTCTTTAAACACCTGCTCTGCCTTTCTTTTCTTCCTTTTATTCCTCCCAGTATGCCTCTCCTCTTGGTTCTGGACCTCAATGTTGTTGTTGAATTCGGAAAGTGTCCAGTGCTGCCAGGTCCTGGAAACTTAGGCCTGCTGTTGGTTAAACTGCTGTCTCTCCTGCCGTATTTGGTTTTCCTTATTAACAACTTCTCGAAACACAGCCTTCTCCTCAACTGTATCCTGTTCCCAAATATGATATAGGCCTTTAGCCCCTTGAATGATCGCACCCCAAAATATGATCCGAATAGGTTGTTTTTCCCCATCCCTATCATGAATTGTGTATTCATTACTATCAATACCCCGATATCATGACAGATTACGTTGGTGACAGGGTTTTCCAAACTCAACCCACATCTCATCCGTAAAAACGATAATATTAATAGCAATTTGTAGTGCCATATGTGTAAAGGCGAGGCATACTTCTATGTGGGCAACTGACAGGCTCGGCTTGTGCGCTGGCTTTTGTCGGAAAATGTCGTGTTGACTATGAAAAACTTGCTCAAGAGTTGAACATGCTGCTTTGATATCTAACTCTTGTGCAATCTCAGGAAATGTCTTTTGCCAGTGCTCCTCATCTTTTTGACTAAGGTCACGGAGAGCAATTGACTCCTCACAGCCCATAGGAAATCGCTCGGGATTGCCACTTTTCTGATCATCATCTAAACAGGCAAGAACATCTTCAAAGTCCTTCGAATCTGCTGCGCGGGTCTAATATTGAATATTTTAGAACAGGTACTTCAAGATATAAGTTTTTCAATATACATACTCAAGTAGCCAAATTGAAGTCAGAAAGCATTACCGCAAAGTTCGCTTAGCTACCTTCTGATTTCAATTTGGCCACTTGAGTAAGTCATCAGATTAATGATATGCTTTCCTTACCGTCAAGCAAAACACATCATCAATCTGATGACTTGAGGATATTGAACTTGTACTAGGTGCTCTTGCCTTTGCCCATTTGACGATACCCTCAACAGTGGACTTTTTCTGTTTCAGCTTTTCCGCTATTGTTCGATATGACATGTCCTTATGCCACTTTAGAGTCAAAATCGCTGCTCTCTGAAGCAAAGGAACTCGGGGAGTTGACACTTTTTCACTCAGCGGGGCGGACATTTGTTTAGAATTTTGAAAGGTATAGCAATAGTATGGGGAGTTGATTGATATTGGGTACAGAGGGGCAAATCAGGAGGTTGTGAAAACCTCTATGAGATCACTTGTTTTCTCCAGTATATCAAATTGCGCCACCCAGCTTGGCACTATCAAGAGGCCTGTTTATTGGTTCGCCGATCACTACCCCATATAGGTGTCCGATAGCAACTCGGCGGCGCGAGTACTTTTAGTTTCTTTCAATCATAGTGCTCTACGAGTAGACTAGCGTTAGACCCTTTGAGGGTGCTACGATAGAAACTGTTTATTCCTTCTGTGGCTAATTACTTGTAGAGATCTTTAGCCCGATGGCACCTAGCTCCTGGAAATGCGGCGATCTCTCAGGAAGGGCTTCTCCTGCATTCCTGGATATATCTGTTGGGTGTAATAGTTATGCGAAAAAGGTACAACTTTGAAAATGCAACGAATACAATTGAATTCATATTATAATTATAACAAAAAAAAAAAAACAGATATTTCAAAATATAGACTCTATTGGCCTACAGGAAACTCAATTTCCTTGAGAAATTTTTTTTAGGTCTACCAAAGGATACCCTACATGCCAGAGAAGTTTCATATGAATTCAATTATATTCAATGCATTTTCAAAGTTGTACCTTTTCCGCATAACTACACCCTGTTGATTCCGTTTTCGGTACAGTACAGTACCTTTCCTTCCTTTCCTCGCCGAGTTGCTGGGGGGCCTCGTTGTTGGCGACGTAGGGGTTAGGACGGGAGGAAGAGGAGATCGACAAGCACCATATCGTCAATAGACAGATAGTGATATATGAATATCATTCCCTCACCGTTTTAATCCACTCTAGTCCTGTGCCTTACGCTTAATGCTTTGATCAAAGAACGTCCGATTCTGGTGACCGTGGCTAGGGCTAGATGAAGTTGTACCCCACCCGTTTGCTCTACACCGTGTCTGAGTAGTGGCCAAAATGAATGGTCCTGATACTAGCTTAGATCTGTTGCTCCCAAGCCAAGGGAAGGTCATAAAAAATATCAGACAGATCTCTGTAGTGTATTGTGGCTGTGCCAAGAAGGATGCCAGGTTCTGAGTTGCTGTGAGCAGCTAGGTATCCTACTCGTACTCTACAGTTAATTATTGTATGGCATAACCGTGCCAAGATTAGTATGGATAAGTGGTACAAGTATCAAATCGGCCGTGTAAACCTCGGACCGATCACAAGCTGAGGCTCTTCCTCCACAAAAGCAAAAAAGTCTATCATCTTAGACTATTCTCTATCTTAAGCTCCTCCGGATCTGTAAACTTCATCAAATCTTCTTTCCCATCTTCTTATTCCCCCTTTTTAAAGCCCTCAGGCTTCAGCTCTACGGACCCCGAAAAACCTAACAATGGCTCCAGCGCTTCCAACAACCATTTCGGTACCAACCCGAGCACCAGCTAAACCACCTCCAGCTCAACCCCCTCGTCGCAAGAGAAAGAACCGAACTCCCGTCATTACTAGGTTGACGGTCGATGATCTCCGCGGTGAGGTAGCGTACGTGTCGGAGGATATTTGGCGCGATGTTTTCGGGTTTGTGAAGCAGGAGCCCAAGCCGAAGCCTGAGCAGGAAATTGTTAACGGGATTCCGGTAATGGGTGGACCTGCAATGGTGATTGTCGATGATGGTAAGCTCCACACCCACTTGTGAAGATAGAAATTGACCTTTTGGAACGCGACAGATGAGGACGACGAACCCATTCCCCCTACACTACATGCTGCCGTTACCCCTTTGATGTCTTCGCGAGAAACCGCCACGAAGAAATGGACTATCTTTCCGGTTACCTTCCTTCCAGGAAGCTCTCAGTTTCCCGGACTCCCGCCGGCGACTATGATGCTTCCACGTACCATCGCGCTTCCACCATCCCTCGCAGCTGCTGGCGAAAAGGGCTCGAAACCCTTTGGGGTCCTACTGATAGACGTGGTCCCGGTTGGCCTTGAAACAGTGTTTGTTAACGTTCGATTCCCAGTGGGAACTCCAGTAGAGGACGACCAGGATTTGGAAGATCGCGTCAAGGAAGCTCTTGGCTCTGCAAAACTAATTCGAACGGGCGATGATCTCCCACTGAGATATGCGCATGGACGAATTGAGAGAGGAAAGGCTAGAATCGAGCTCTGTGAGCCCGTGGAGCAGGGATTACTTTTACGGGAAACCAAGATTGTGGTAGTTAAGGAGAAATTATCAAATGCACGAAGGCGAGGCCCCGATAACGTCGACGGAATTATCTTGGACGGCGAATATGAAGATGGCGGCGGAGTTTCCTTATCTGGGGAAGATGGCGCCACGGGTAGCGACGAGGAAGAGGACGACCCGTTAGCATTCTCGGGCTTCCTATCTACACCTTTGACTCCTAGTGGTGTTTCGTTCCCTTCAACTTCTACCACCCCGCATTTACGGAACGGCTACCATTCCCCAAACACCCTTGCATCACCAGCTCCGACTAGCACAAGCAAGCAGTTCACAACCCAGCCCTTGACGAGGCCCATACCATCTGGCCTATTACATCCAAAACCAAAGGAACAGGGCGACGACGAAGCTAGGGCATTCGTCAGAGTTGGTGATTTAGCCAAGTTGGGTTGTTTCTCCGGGGACTGGGTTAGGATATCTCTGCCTGCCCCTCCCCTAACAGATACGTCTTCTCCAGCTCTTGCCAAAGCAGCGGAGGCCGTGGCTCGAGGGCGTGGATATGGAGCGACTATCAGCCTTCGGCCGGCGAATGGTGGTAGGTCAGGTTCTAGGGTTTCCAGAGATCTCTCTGCGATGAGAGGTGATGGGGGATCCGATTTGGAGGTTGGGCGTCCGGTCAAGATATATTCTCTTCCCGAAGGCTGGGAGACGTCCGGCCTGTCTGCCAAACGCCGGAGGGCAAGCGGGAGAGGTAAGGAGCCTGTCATTGATGAAGACCCCAAGAAGGATTTGAACCCAGTTGTTTACCTTTCCCCCATTCTCCTTGCAAATCTGCCGTCATCTTCTCCAACTATAACTGTGTCCGAGGTTATCCTTTCGCCATTCCCCGCAGCTCCTACTTCTCTATTAAGCCCAGTCCCCCTGTTTCCACCCGCCGCAAAAGAAGTTACTTTGTTACGAATAGCATCGCCAATCTCTACGGACAGAGCTCTTCAGCCTTCACTACTTTTACAACTAAAATCATATTTCGAATCTTGTAGAAGACTGGTTCGAAAGGGGGATGTGATTGCTGTGGGAATTGACGAAGCCCTTGCGCGAACTCTTTACGGCGGTGACGGCGGTGACGGTGTAATGGAGGAACTTTTGACTGGGGGAGTAGAAGAGAAGGGAAGTAGAAGAACTTGCGTCGCGTGGTTCAAAGTAGGCAGTATTGGCTCATCAGAGGAAGCTCCTGAGAAGAGTCCAGCTGGGAGGAGAATGCCAGATAAGAGAGATAAAGAGGATGAGAGCATCTGGGGTGGAGTAGTATTTGTTGATCCAGCGAGCACTCGCATGGTTCAAGCCGGGTCTGAGAGACGGAAGATACCACCTACTATCAGTTCTACTTGGGAGTACTACTTTGGACTGCATCCGCCGCCTCTACGATTGGCCGCCGTTCAAGGAGTTCCGCCAGCGTTGATCGTGCCAGCACGTTATGTCAGTCAGACTCAGCGACGCCTGAGAGAATTGGTTTCTGCGGCTACCTCTCAGAGAGCCGTTCAATTGGAGTTGCAATCGATCGCTATCCTATTGACAAGCACTCAAAGGTCCATTGGCAAACGGACACTAGCAATGAGAGCCGCGGCTGATGTCGGAGCCCACGTTTTCCACATAGACGCTTACGATATCACCTCCGACGGTGGTCCCGGGGACGTAAAGACAGAAGGCTTCTTGCGAGCTAGGGTTGATAGGGCACTCTCCTGCGGTAAAGAAAGCTGTGTTCTACTACTCTCCCACATCGAAGCCCTTACATCGGCACGAATGGGGGAAGTATTAAAAGACATTGTGGGCCAAATGCGTATCATCATCGTGACAACGGCAGAGGTTGACAAATTATCAGAGAATATCCGTAACGTCTTCACCCACGAGATGGAAGTCGGAGCTCCAGACGAAAATGAAAGAGTAGGGCTCCTGGAAGGAATAGTAGACGAACGAAGAGTCCGCCTGGGCAAAGAAGTCGACCTCGGAAATATCGCTGTTAAAACGGCCGCTTTGGTGGCCGGGGATCTAGTCGACGTTGTTGAGCGTGCAGTCGCAGCATCCCAGGACCGCATTTTAAAACTTGCGAAGAAATGCCGTGCTCGTCAAAAGGACCCCGATTCCCCTGAGGGCCCCGTATCGGTCAAGGACTTGGAAATAGCCGGTGGTGATGAAACTACTAGTGTTCTAAAATGCGATTTCGAAGTAGCTGTCGAAGCTGCACGCAGGAACTTCTCGGATTCGATCGGCGCGCCAAAGATCCCGAACGTGGGCTGGGACGATGTAGGAGGTCTCGCAAATGTAAAGAGCGCCGTCATGGAAACAATCCAACTCCCACTCGAGCGACCAGAACTCTTCGCAAAGGGGATGAAGAAGCGTTCCGGAATATTATTCTACGGACCTCCCGGAACTGGAAAAACGCTACTGGCAAAGGCGATTGCCACGGAATTCTCCCTCAATTTCTTTTCCATCAAGGGGCCTGAACTACTGAATATGTACATCGGTGAGTCGGAAGCGAACGTCCGAAGAGTTTTCCAGCGCGCCAGGGACGCACGACCTTGCGTTGTCTTCTTCGACGAATTAGACTCAGTCGCGCCGAAAAGAGGGAATCAGGGTGATTCCGGGGGTGTCATGGACAGGATTGTTTCCCAGCTGCTCGCAGAATTAGATGGCATGAGTGAAGGTGCGGAGGGTAGCGGCGGCGTATTCGTTATCGGAGCGACCAACCGACCGGATTTACTCGACGCAGCATTACTACGGCCCGGGAGGTTCGACAAGATGTTGTACTTGGGTGTTTCGGACACTCACGATAAACAATTGACTATCATGGAGGCCCTTACTAGAAAGTGCGTCGCCCCCTTTTCTCATCTCCCTCTCCTACTAACCAGCAGCATAGATTCACCCTCTCCCCAACCCTCTCTCTCCGCAGCATATCCGAAACTCTCCCCTTCACCTACACAGGAGCAGACCTGTACGCCCTCTGCTCCGACGCAATGCTCAAGGCAATCACACGCCAAGCCAACCTCGTCGACGAAAAAATCAAGCGCTTGTCGGCCACCTCGGAGGAACCCGTTTCAACAGCACACTTCTTCGACAACATCGCTACGCCTGAAGACGTTCTCGTCGTAGTTGGTGAGGAGGACTTTTTACAGGCGAAGGGCGAATTAGTCGGTAGTGTTAGCGCCAAGGAGTTGGAGCACTACCAGAGGGTTAGAGAGCAATTCGAGATGGCAGAGGAGAAGGGGAAAAAGGGGAGGGGGAACGCTATCGAACAGGCAGTGGTAGAGGGGGAGGAAGAGGTGCCGGTAGTAGACAAGAAAGGGAAAGGGAAAGCCGTAGTTGTGGATAGAGATGCAGGCGTGTAAGTCGAAGATATAGGACTACTGCTGAAAAGTCGCCTGGAGATTGTGCCTGAAGAGCAGGAGTGGGAAGATGGAGCTGAAGGAGATGAGCAGGAGCTTTATGGCAGCGGGGCGTGAATCCCACCACGGCCGAAAAAGTGACTTAAGCCCGAGTAGCTGTCGATGATCTCGGCGGAGTCCCGTGATGTCCGCCCATTGGTTTTTATGGCGGTATTGTACTAGGAGACTCACCAGCGAAGAATGTCTGAGTGATAGTGTGTGAATCGGCGGTGGAGAAACGTTATTGATCCCGGGCTAGTTCGACTTGGGCACTGTACTTTATTGTAAGATTATCCTAGAGAAACATTCGATTTACGATACCAGTGCCAATTTCCCATTTATTTGGATGATAGCTATTGTACTTTTCGAGTGGTGAGACGTTTTATAAACCATGACCCCCCTGCACCCAACACCTAATATCACACCAGTGTCTACGGCAGAATATTGAGCAAAAAATTAAAAACTAATATATCCCATCCCACCCCTTGTCACTCAAAGTCCTCAATGTCCTCCACCTCTCCCTCATCTCCCTCCCACACAAGTTTCGTTCCACCGCTCTCCCTCTTCCCTCCAACCCCCCTTCCTCCTCCTGCGCCAGGCCCCAGGCCATCACCAGCACTCATAAGGGGTTCTCCGAACTTGACCCCCAGACGATGAGGTCTTGGGTATATAAGTACGAGAGGACTGGCAATTGGAGATGTGACGTTCTCCGGCAGTGGATGCGGCAGCTTTCTATGCTGCTGCTGCTGGCGGCGGTGGATCTCGTGTTGCCTTCTGCGCGCCCAGAATGGTCTCGCTCTTTGCAGACTATCCTCACTTTGTTCGTTAGGTGGTATGAGGAACCTTCGCGCGGGTATTTTGGGTTTTTCGTGCTCTTTGGAGGGGGTTGGGCCCGGAGGTTTTGACGTTTCCGGTTCGGGGGGGTTGGGGAGGGGGGCAGAATTTTTCCCTCGGTTCTCGTATCCTCCATGTTCCGTGGCGCGAACCGGTGAGGATTTGAATAGGTCTGAGGGTGTGGCCAGAATCTTGTCGAGCCATTCGTTGTGTGTGAATAATTCTATGGATATTTTTCTTGGTTTAGCTGTTATGTTCTCGTGGACTGTGCGGAAACTTGCCCTGATCGTCTACGGTGCTGCCAAGAGAATCCCGGGAATTATCCCACCCTGTTAGGTTGTGTTTAGCTCGGCCGTGTTCTGTTTGATCTGGGCTATCTTGCGCGGTAATCCGGTTCTGTCGTGCGGGGGGGTAAGATCGTCAGTTGTCACTCCAATTACCTCGGCGGAGGTCTCTTCATGGGCAATGGTGGAAGCCACATGGATAGTGCCTAAGATCCCCCCTGTGTCTTCATATGTGGTGGCAGTGCCTTCCTCATCCCATTCGTAGTCGGTACTTTCTAGAGTATCTTTCACGTTATCTTCACCAGGGTCTAAGGACATTAGATCAGTGCTATCTTGATTGTCACCGGGCGAATGATCATCTTGATCCATCTCCATCTCAAGTTCCTCTACCTCGGACTCCGTTATTTCCTCTGTTCCGCCGCCACCCAGGTCTCCCACCCCTAGAGATTCATCACGCCTGCCCTCCTCATCCTCCTCGCCGGTCTCAGTATCTGGTACCACTCCGATTTGGGTTCGGGCTCCGTCGGCACTGCCCACAAAAGGTTCAAGATTTATTGAGTTCCCACTAGAAACAATATCGCTAGCTATATCCTCAAATGACTGTTCCCCTTGGTGTTGGTAAGGCCGATGTTCTGCAGGTGATGTACTCCACGAAATTTGTGATGACCCAAACGTAATATTTGACAAATGGGTGTGCCCTGGGACCTCTTCCTTGCGAATTTTCTTATCAATTGGGCCCTCAATGCTCGCGATCCTGGGGAACCCATACCCCATCACCCCTTCAGCCTTTGGACAGAGGCACTCCCTCCCGTGAGCATTAGGGCTATCTCGTAATACTATAGTCGAATAAACCGAACTACTACTAGGAAGAGGGGAAGAGACTTGCTCAATCTCCTTGATCAGGAGATCATCCTCGCCGACCTCCCCCAGTGGCTTTGGGACCGGGATGCCCCTCCGACGCGAATACCGTGCTAGAGGTGATGACGAATAACCGCTTTGTCGAGCCTCTCGACGTTTCCGCTCAATAACATCAGACACTGACGGAGTAATGTGATGAAATTGGAACATTGGCTCGTGCTTATCAATATCTAATAACATTGTATCCGCCGATGAGCCTCTAATTACGGTAGAGTCGATCCCCGTAGACCAGCTTGTGGCTTCCGCGGATCTTGTGGGATCAGTTGTAGAGGTCGATGTTGAACCCCCGATGCGTATATAAATATCTTCGTTTTCTGGATATTCCGGTAGTTCTGGAGTACCCTCATGCGAAACCACCCTTCGCCTATCCTTGCGCGTGATAGATACTGTTCCTTGATTGCTGTCGCTGTTTTGTAAAGTGCTGCTATCATCGTCATAATAATCATCTCCCTCTTCTTCTTCAGAACTAGTAGAACCAGACGAGCTAGTCTGTGTAGCCTCCCTATGAACGTTTGTCTTGAGCTTCCTCATTTCTTCTCTGTTTTTCAAAAACAATGGCTTCGATAAGGCCGTGCACACCCAGTCTTCCCTCTCCAGAAGCATCCTTCTTCTTTCCTTCCTAATATCCTCCTCCATCCCCTTTCCGCCCCTCTTCCCGGTAGGATCATTGTCGATATACAAAAGCTGGGAGGCACCCTTTTGAGCAGTCTCTCCATGGTCAATCCTTGCCTTCTTGACTATGATATCAAACTCTGGTATCGTCCGCCTCTTTCGCTTGAACGCGTGGGGAAGATTTCCTTGCGAAGAAGGGATGACGAAAGTTTGGGCCGCGGCGCGGACCTTGGCGAAGTAGCGTTTTTGGAGACGTGATGTTGTAGAGGCTTTGATGGCACGATTCCGGGTGCCCCCTGTCCAGTTCATGGCCATCGCGGACTCAGGGGATAAATAAAATAGGGCTAGATATTTAGTCATCAACAAGGCACATCCTAAGCTCGATCAATGCCTCCAAACGCTGGTGTTTGCCGGGAGATCTATGGTTACGTAAGCACAGGTAGTCAAACGGTTGCAGCATGTTTTTAGACGGGTATCAGTCGAGCGATCACCGCAAAGTGGCAAGCCAAAGGAATACGTTATGATAGGGCATATTGATTTCCGAGTGACAACCTATGATTTGAGCAAGCTATCCCTTGCAACGTTACTGTACAGTATATATCAACACAGATGTGCCCAGCCCACGGATCGGGAGAACCATATTAACCCTTTAGGGTGCTCAAGAAATTCTTCTCTCGAATACCCGCCCTTTGTGCCTTCCTCAAGGCTGTCCGAGTTTCTAACCGCGCTGCTTGAGCTTCCAGCGGCGTAACATGAACATCCTTCCCAATCTCCACTGCTGCTGGCTTTAACCCTCTTGTGCCTGGAATGGCAGGAAGTTTATGAAGGAGGCCTCCGCTAGTAGATACAACCCTAGTGAATGGTTCAGCGACCGATCGAACAATAGAGCTTGGGGCTGTCGGGTCTGGGACTGTCGCGAAAGGGAGATCGATAGATTGTTGGTGAGGAGGTATGCGGACGTCTTTGTTTCTAGCCTCCATACGGGCAACCTTCGCAGCCTGTTTCTTTGCAAGATCACGTTGTTTTTTTGATTTAGCTAAGGCAAATCAGTAACTGTTAAACAAGATAAAAGCCGTGAACAGTAGAGATTCTCACAGTATGCATCACCCGCCGCAGCTGAATCGCCCACAGCGCCAGTCTTATTCTCGAGCATGGACCATAGCCATTCCGGATATTCCGAGTCCTCCATCGCAATAGGATCGGATCTATTTTTCAGAAAGTTGATGTTTTTGAGGACTGTTCCGCCGGGTGTCCCACTCTTTACCCGAGGCTTACCGTCGGCCGTAACAGAGGATCTATAGGGAGCTGGTTCTAATGATACTGGTTTGGCGGGTGGGCGAGGCGCATCACCAGCTCGTGGCAGTTGGCCAGTGGCAAACGACCGAGAGGTGAGAGATATGAGTGGTAGACGGGAGGATGATAACACACATTGAGCGCAGAACATTTTGAATGCTATTGACGTGGAGGGGCCAATATATCTTGCTTTCCACGGGATCCGATGTTGAAGTGAAAATTAGCGGGGACGAGGCCAGTAAATTCGGCGGGTAGCGAATGTTTCAGTCCAGCACAAAGCCCACAAAGTTCATAGCACTTAGTCTAGTTCTGAGCACCAATTCTGTTGTTGGGACAGAAGGGGTGGTTGGGTGACTTTTCTTTCATGCAAATCTTGGCATCCCCCGCTTGTTGTGGGACCCTGAAAGGAGTACCCTATCCTACCTACTCGCTGCAACTCTCCCTCATCTCCTCTTTCTTTCTCTCTCCTTCCTCTTCGCCGCACATACGTCCCCATCTCTCAAGACAGAAGTTGTGTTGACGCTCTGCAAATCTGAGGCATTCAATTCAGTTGGCATTTGGCTGTTCCATTACCGAGGGCTTTGATCTTATCTATATCATACTGTCGGTATTTCCGGCAATTTGATTTGTGGGTACTGAGGGCTTCTGAGGGTTACTTTTTGTTTGACCTTGCAAAGAAAAGGTCTTTATCGTCACTTTTTGTGCAATCTGAGGGCTTTATATACTCTGAGGGCTACTGAGGGCATATCTAAGATACCAGAGAACTAGAGACGGTTTGCGTCTAATCTGTTTCCTCTCTGGGTATTTTTCTTCCTTTTTTTTTTTTTCTCTTTTTTTTTTCCTGCAGAGGAAAAAAAAAAGGCGGAAAATTTTTCCCTACCCCCTCCCGCAACCACCCCCTACTCTCCTCTCCCCAATCTCCCCCTCACCCCCTTTCCTCCAGAGGCTTCAAAAGTTAACTTCCTAGCATCTCCAGCTCCTATCCTTTCTATTTTACATCAATTTTTTCACGCAACGTTCGCATTTACAATGGCCAAGGAAAAACCCTTCGCGAAGCCTACTGCCAATGGCAAGGCGGGTAAGAAAGATGTTTTGGGGTCGGTCAAGTCGGGGGCTATCACCAAAAAATCTACTAAATCCACCAATTCGAAGAAGTTGGGCCAAAAAACTGTCTCAACCGTTTCAGGTCACAAGGCGACTGGGCTGAACAGGTCCACTCAATCTACCAAGAATATCGAACCTAAGAGGAAGGCCAAGGCTCCCACTCCACTGTCCTCTGAGTCTGAAGATAGTTCTGAGTCTGAATCTGAGTCTGGCTCTGGATCTGATAGTGACGAGTCCGGGTCCGAATCTGAGGTCGAGACCAAGAAGCCCATTAAAAAGGCCGAGGTTAAGAAGGTTGGGGTAAAGAAGGTAGAAGTCAAGAGGCCCGAGGCCGGAAAGATTGTGGCTAAGAGGCCTGAACGAAAGGAGGCTGTCGCAAAAGACTCTTCTGATTCCGAGTCCAATGCATCTTGTAGCGATGGTGATGGTGGTGATAGTGATAGCGATTCTGACGGAGAAGCGCCAAAGGCTAAAACTGCGTCGGAGACCACATCTATTTCCAGTTCCGGTAGCGATTCCGATTCTTCCTCTGACTCTAGCTCTGATGAAGAGGAAGCACCAGTTGCCAAGAAGGCAGCTCCTGTCAAGGCTGTCAATGGCACCAAGAAGACTGTGGGAGTACGAATTTTCATGATATTAATATGATAGCATGCAACTAACGTAAGATAGGTGGCTGAATCTTCGTGCGAATCCGATAGCGACTCTGACTCGTCCTCCGATTCCGATGCCCGAGTCAAGTCTACCGGGAAGGCCGTTTCTGATTCAGAATCATCCGACTCCTCCGATTCCGAGTCAGATGCTAAGGTCAAGTCTGCCAAGAAGGCTAGCGCTGATTCAGATTCATCATCCGACTCATCTGATTCCGAATCCGATTCGGATTCTTCGGATTCTTCGGATTCGGGTTCGGGTCGGGCGGGGTCCGGCTCCAAGAAGCGCAAAGCTGCCACCGAGGCCGAGCCCACTCCAAAGAAGGTCAAAACTGTATCCTCCGCTCAGGAGGGAGCCAAAAATCTTTTTGTTGGATCACTGTCATGGAACGTTGATGAAGGTTGGTTGAGAAATGAATTCGAGCAATTCGGTGAGATCGCCGCTGTGCGCGTCGTCACTGATCGTGAGAGCGGTCGTTCCAAAGGGTGCGTTTTGAATTATTTATTCATTTATCTATTGTTCAACCCCATTCTAACCCCCACAGGTTTGGGTATGTCGAATATACTACCAATGAAGCAGCTAAGAAGGCGCTGGAAGAGATGAAGGGCAAAGATATAGATGGCCGCACTATTAACGTTGACTTCTCTGCTCCTCGCCCGGAGAATCCTCGCCAAGACCGCTCTAGGTTGTATGGCGACCAAAAGAGCCCCGAGTCTGAAACCGTGTTTGTTGCCAACTTGAGCTTCGAGGCAGATGAGCAAATCGTTCAAACTGAGTTTGAGGGATTTGGAAACATTGTTGGATTGAGAATTCCAACTGATCCGTGAGTTTGGTCGTTTATATGGGTTTTGCAAATACTGATGTTGGTTTTTTTTTTTAGCGAATCCGGTCAACCTAAGGGCTTTTGTTATATCCAGTATGACAGGGTTGATTCTGCTCGTAAAGCTGTTGAAGAAATGAATGGTGCTCTCGTTGCTGGCAGAGCCATTCGTACTGATTTCTCTACCCCCCGCGATCCGAGCGCCGGCGGTGGCCGTGGCGGTGGCCGTGGTGGCCGTGGCGGGTTTAGTGGCCGTGGCGGTCGTGGTGGCGGGTTTACTGACCGCGGTGGCCGTGGTGGCAGCCGTGGTCGTGGTGGTCGCGGTGACGGCCGTGGCCGCGGCGGGCCCGGTGGTGGGAGAGGAAGATTCCAATCCCAAAACCGTGGTGGCTTTGGAGACTTCCAAGGAAAGAAGCAGAAATTTGAATAAGCCCCAAAGCCTATCACACCGCACGCCCGGATTTCATGGTAGCTCAAAATAGTCTATGGGCTCAATAATATCTTGTGGGTGACTAGCGGCTTGTGGATTTCGTTTCATTTTTTGGGGATTATTTCCGGGGGGCTTTTTATTTGTCATGTGGGGCCATTGGCTCTTTGCCTTGTCCAGTGTTACCTGCTACGCCAGGCTCAAAAGTTTTGCATTTTATTTTCTTATCCTGGAGCCTCTTACGATGGCTGCACGTCTACTTGTGCTCAAATTACCTATTATAGACAGAATAGGATTGCTATAATGTTCTATCATGTCAGTATTGTATATAGGGTTTTCGGAATCAATCAAAACTATGACCACATTGGGGATTAGATAAATAAGATGAGGCCCGACTGGGATTTTAGTGTTGACTATGGATATCAAGCTATGATATAAATTACGAGTAATAAATACTCTTTGAGTTATTGCCAAAAAAAAATCCATGCATGCGAGAGTGATTGCCTAGGTAGGACACCCGCTATTATAATAGAGAGGATTAAGCCAGATGATGTCACTCTACTGGGGTAGCTGGTGCAGAACGAGCCATCATAGTACACCAGTGCATCACAGTACTCGAGTACGAGCACTTGAGCAAAGTACCGCTTCATAGTGCGATTGACTAAATTACACCAAGCAGAGGCTACTGGTATCCCTCTCTAGGAGGAATGCGACTCTTCCTCCTCCTCATGTTATACTCTCTCCTGTGATGATGGCTTTTTTGCTCAAACATCGTTTTATTGCTCTAAGGTGCTAGCGAGAGAACCTATGCAGCTGAAAGCTATGGCACATCCCCCGTGAGTATAGAACATCTTTGTATGCATTGAGACTACCTGACTGAAATTTAATAAATCTATGAAAGTCTCTTATTATAAGCCACGTTGTGTAAATTGCCCCCTCATGTTCTTATACGGTCTTAAGTTACTAGGCCCTGGGATCTCACCAAGAGTCTTTCCATACCCTGATAAATACCACCCACTTTGGTCAGAAGCGGGAAATGTTATGTAGTCGTGAAGCGTTGTAATGGCCTAGAAGTTCTGTTTTATAGATACATACAAAATTGGCGTGATAGTGGGTATCAACCTTGAAGAGCGGCAGTCAACTAGAGGTGGTTAAACTGTGTGGGTGGCTTCTGGTGATATGAAAAAGAATGGGAGAAATGGGAAACTAAATAGTCTAGGTGGATTATCTGCTTACCGGTATCCGGAACAATTCTATCGTACTCGTAGTTGCATATACTGGTAGCGTTGCCGGGAGGAGCAGTCTCCGACGAATATGCTCGGCTCCCTCCTCAAACAGCTTCTTGGTGGGCTAGAAGTAATGCCGGGAGAAATCACCCAGAGGTTTCGGGACCAGAAGAAGGTGATTGGGGGCCGAGGACTGCAGCTTCCTGATCTCGTGAAGATGTTCCTGACTATCTAATCTTTAAAACGCACATTCATATGTGTTGACGCTCTTGACGAATGTGTCTCAAAGCATCAACTCGAAGCCCTCGATGCATTGGGACAACTTCTCCAGAGGTCGCCAAACACTCGAATATCCATGACCGGAAGGCCACACATCCGGGTAGTAGTTGAGAGGGAGCTGGGGGAAAGAACAACAAGTAGTGTATTGGTAGAGTCTAGGGATGAGGATATAGTTACATATCTGCGTGCGAGACTAAGGAAGGACACAACTCCCGAGGCGATGGATGGTGGGTTGGAGAATAATATTATGAAGAGCATTCCCAAAGAGACCTCGAAAACGTATGTAGCAGTAGGGTATCCAAGAAACCTTTGTAGGCTACATACTGACGGGTTCAAACCTAGATTCCTTCTGGCTTCACTCAAGGTCGAAGCAATCCTAGGAGAAACGACGATCTATCGGAGACGAAAGAGGCTTAATGCGATGAGAGATAGCTTAGGGTTGGGGGATGCATACTCCGCAACTCTAGTTCTAGAACGGATAAGAGCTCAGTCCGGGGAAAAAGCAAGACTTGCTATGGCCACCTTGATGTGGATATGTCATTCGGAACGGCCATTACACGTAGCTGAACTATGTCATGCACTAGCTGTAGAGATTGGTTCTGCAGATTTCAATAGCGATAACGTCCCTGCGACAGAGACTTTGCTCGCCTCCTGTCAGGGATTAGTCACGGTGGATAAGAAAGCCTCGACTGTCCGGTTGATCCACGACACACTCCGAGAGCACCTTTCTACTCATCCCAACCTTCTCGCCCGAACTCACTCGGCAATGGCGGAAACCTGCTTGACCTATCTAAATTCGGACCAGGTGAAGGCCCTTTCGGCTAAGCTGAAACCCGAACCCTCAAGCATGCCCTTCCTTCTATATTGTTCAAGATATTGGGGCACACACGCAAATAGAGAACTTACAGATCACGCGGTATTGCTTGCAATGGAGCTCTTGGGCCAGTACGGAACCACATTTCCGCTAGATTACTACTGGGGGTAGCATTGGGATCCAATTATGACCGTGATATCGACGCCCCTTCATTGTCCACTGGACTCCACTGTGCATCTTTTTTTGGGATTGTCAAGGCTATGACTGCTTTGTTAAGGATGAGCGGCTGTGATCCTAACCAAAAGGATTCTGCGGGTATAACGCCACTCACATGGGCCGCGAGAAACGGACATGAGGAGGCGGTGAAGCTATTATTGGTACAGGAGGCCGTGGACCCCGACAAGCCAGACAACCAGGGCAGGACACCACTTTCATGGGCTGCAATTAACGGGCACGAGTTAGTAGCTAAGCAACTTTTGGATCGGGAGGATGTCAACCCCGGCAAGCCAGACAATGAGGGCTGGACACCACTTTCATGTGCCGCAATTAACGGGCACGGGTCGGTGGTTAAGCAGCTTTTGGACCGGAAAGATGTCAACCCTGACAGGCCAAACAACAAGGGCAGGACACCACTTTTGTGGGCTACAATTAAAGGACACGATTCAGTGGTTAAGCAACTCTTCACACCAGGAAGATATTAGCTCCAATGCCCAACAATGAGGGTAGGGCTCCTCCCATGGGCCACTGCGGGCGTGAACCAATAGCGGATCTACGACTAGGGCGGAAGGATGTCAACCTCGACAGACCAGACAAAATTCTCACATGACATCACATGATACCACTCTCTTATGCGTCTGTGAAGGGACATGGAAGTGTGGTGGATCTACTGCAAGCCTGAAAACCCGCAACTCCAATCTGGCCTGGGGTTGACGAGTTACAGGCTTCTTTACCCTCTTCGAATATTTGACCGCGGGTATGGGCTATCCCCGCACCGTGCTCACAGCTTCACTCCATCCCCTACCTTTCACCCTCCTCTACATCTTTCCCGGCCTCTAAATTTTACGATACTGCCTTGCTGCCATCTCTTTCTTTACTTATTCCTTTTTCCCTAGGTTACCCCCCATTCCTGAGCTTGAAAAATCCCCCAGACGTAGAATCTTTCATCTCCCTAGAATGTACTATACCACACATGTGCAATTATCCGATATCTTGTGGATATTTAAAAGTTGGGGGGTATCATATTGTCCTAATTTCTTTCTAAAATTGTCCATTTTATTGAATTTACCTTATCGATGCACTGCCCTCTCGTTATAGACCTTCCTTTGTTCCATCACCTCTCTGCTACCCATTTTTTGAACCATATCTTCGACCCACCGCTTTTCCCGTGCAAATGATACAACAGATACCTGTCACACTTTATGTCGTATAGCCGGGTTAACTTTGTGCTCTGATTACCCCTCATTAATACCATCTGTCAGTCTACCCACCCCCGAACCTAGTGTTTCCGAAGACCCGCCCGCCACTCTTTCAATCCCTCTTCCCATGCCACGCCGCCCCCGTCTTCCCAATTTATGATACGATATCATACTTCTACACGTCCGCCCTAACCGCCGGCAGCGACGACAAGCCACCATTCACACCCAATCCACCTACCCCACCACATATCGAACCGACCTGCAAATTTCGCCAGAACGACATCTATGCCCCGCACACACAAGTATTTCCACAACAAACAGACATTCAATCCATGGAAAAACCCAAAACCCCCGTAGCCTACCATCCGACATCACTGGGTCCCGAGGCGTGGGGGGTTACTGCTTGCGGTCTTTATTTTATCTTCTCACTATGGCGTTTTGTTTTCTTCGTCTATTTAGGTGCTTCGCGTGTAAATTTTCATTCATTTCTTTTCCTTCCTTCTAGTTTGCGCTCCGCCCGGATTTTTCGTTCAGGGTTGCTGCGTTTTGGCAATGTTGGGTTGTGGGCGTTCACAAGTATTGGATGATCGGGACATGTTTATATCATACTTTTGCTCTCCTCGAGGACGTGACGTGCAGTGCTGTACTGCCGTAAGGCTGGAAAGAGAGAGAGGTAAGTCGATTGAACATCAAACTGGGATGTTGGAGTTGTCCATGTCATCCTAGTAAGGTCTGATATATATATATATAGATATTATATTATACTTGTATATCTCTTTTTAATTCGCATTTGTAATTTTTTTTTTATGATACCAGGGTGATTTCCCCAATTTTATCCAAAGGGGGGGATTCTGGACGTCAAAGTGTGAGGTTCCATTATTCCACCCACATTCATGGGTTGAGCCTCAGGTGTGATCAACCCGTCGAACGTCCAAGATTTGTCTTGGCGCCGAATCAATATCAAAGGGATTCCGGAGCAACCACCACCCACAGCCACCGAGGACCAAAATTTAACCCACTACCACATTTCTACCTGCTACAGTACTCGCCCCACCTCATCACCAATATTCGTATACCCCCCCTAATACCTACCTTGACGATCCCACCACCCATTCTCGCGACAATGCCAGTGACCGGGTATCATACACTTCCCACCCCTTCCCTTCCCACCCCTCCCCCTCACCCGCTCGAGCCGGCTAACATGCCCCAGCATTTACTGGATAAACACCCCCCTAACCACCCCCCCACAAAATATGGTCCCCCTGCTAGCAGACTGCCTGGGGAAGCGCCACCAACCCCTCTTCGCCGGAAAATGGGCCCTGGAGCATCGCCTCCTCCGTGAAACCATCCCCTCCAGCACTAGCACTGCCAACACCTCGTCGCAATCCAACAACCATACTTCCCATTCCCAATCCTCTCAACAGCAACCACCCGCAGGAGGAAACTACATGCAATACCTCGACCTCCCCTACCTCCCGGGGAAACTCATCGTTTTGACACCGTCAGCTATCGTGACGCTGGACCGCGAATTCGACCTGTTAGTGCGCTCAAAGTTATCCGCGTTGTGGAGCCTTCGACAGACGCTGCGTGGGGAGGGGCTGGCGTACGAAGTGGATGACTTCAAGGTGCGCATCGCGAATATTCTGCAGGGTGAGGTATGGAAGGGTGTGTTGGTGGAGGTGGAGTACGCGCCGTGTAGCTTGCTCGCGGTTGCGGAGGGGGCGATTCGCGGGTTCGTAGAGGGGCTAGGGTGGCCGGCTGGTCGGTTTACGTTTGTGGGGAAGGGCGGGGGGAGGAGGGTTGAGGGGGAGGAGTGGTCTGTGCTTGACACGGGTAGGCAGTACTGCGAGGTTTTGAGGATGGGGTGGGGGGGTTGAGGATGGATGAATGAATGATTGAACGGATAAAATGAGGCTGGAGGTGTGAAAGTGTTGCCATTATAATAGTATTACTGTAACTGGGTAGGATGCCATGGCGAAGGGGGGGTTGTACGATACCGCTATAGCGAAATGGATTACGAACATTTGTGCTAATTGTGCTAATAGAGGGCGCAAAAAATTTTAACCATAATAAAACAGGTAAATGACGGCCACAAACGGCAAAATAAAGTGAAGGAACGAAAGCTACCTATCCGGCTGACCAACCAAATCAGCCCAACCTACCCAGTCAACCCAAATATAAAAAAAGAAAAGGAAAAGGAAAAGAAAAGAAAGAGAGCCAAAACCAAACACCAATTTCATATCATTCGTCGTATTGTGAAATCCCTCGATGAGAAATTATTTCTAGTCCACAAACTCTACTCAAGCAGTAACGCTCCCAATCCCACCACCCATCGAAATCCCCCTGCCAGCAGCACCACGTAATCCCCCCCCGCTAGCTCTACTTAAACTTCTAACAACCGCCTTGCCTCTTCCTGACCCGCTACCCGTGATCCGACCCAATAGCCCACCCTCCGACTTTCCGACCTCCCGGCCCATGGCGTATCCGGCCGAGAAGGTGATTGCGCTGAGGAGGACGATAGCGCCGGCTGAGATTGCTAGTGTAGCATAGGAGACGCCAAGGGTGGATGTCAAGTCACTACCTTCCGAGGCTTCCTGCCGACGGGAGGACCTGGAACGGGTTTTTGATTTAGATTTCTTGTCGGGGCGCCGGGTCTTCTTCCTTGCCTCCTCGGTGTCCTTGGAGGGGAGTTTATTTGGTGGGGATGGGGGGGAGGACGTAGAATCCGCTGTGGAATCCACAGATCCGCGTCTGCTCCTCCCGCCTACTGAACCGCTGGCTTCGCTAGGGAGGTTGTCCTCTCTGACCACACGAATACCTTCTACTGCCACTCTTCCACCCTGCTGAGGTGCGGTCTGTGCCTGACCCGGAGCCTGTGATTGCGGAGGGGACTTGGTCAAACCCCTTGCCGCCGCCGCGCAGCTCAAAAGTGTAGACAACGACGCCCGTAACGCCTCGTCATGATCCGTCGCATGGTTTGGGGCGAACATGTTAAACCCGCCGGGTCCATGACGGCGAGAAGTAGGCACCATATGACTCCTATCTTGAAATGGGCGTGGTTGAGAGGACGCCGAAAACACTGTCCTCGGGGCAGACGCATCATGTGAAGCACTCGCTTCATCATCACTATCATCTTCTTCATCGCCCGGAGATGAGTACCCGTCCGAGCTCATGGGCATTTCGTTGATCATGGATCCCATATGTTCGCCTTCCTCTTCTTCCTCTTCCTCTGCCTCACCGTTTTCTAACGGGCCATCCTCAGATTCTTGAGCTATGCCGGTCTGTGGGTGGGAGGGTTTGACATCGCGGAACGTGGATCTGCGTCTTCGGCGTGCGGCGGAAACTTGAAGTCCAGCGGTTATAATGTGTTCGTCCGATGAGGATGTGTACGCGCTATCACTCGGGTGAGAGGCTACCTCAACCCACGAATCGGTTTCTGTAAAGTGTTAGTGCACGTGCTTACTATCCATCACACCTCTCCCCATACTCCCCATCCCGATATCTCCCTCCCAAGCATTTTCAAACCACAAACACCTTTTCTGCACGACCCAGAAATTCTCCAATGGGAAATTTAAAGATTCAAAGGAATCCAAAGAAAACAATGACAAACCTCCCGTATTGATGCCACTTGCCGCAGGCGCCATCTGACCCCTGGCAAAATTCACAGGCTGGGAACTACTCGATCCAGATGTCTGGGGGAAAGGCGACGGATGCATCTCGTTCCCGTTTGTCCTATTGGGTGTGAGGTGCAACAAGGTTACCGAGCCGATAAACCCCTTTTCTTCACTTATTCAGTCTGAAACCTCGCAGACCTGATTGATGGAAACACGGATTATATTTACCACTACTAATAAGTGGTACCGATACTAATAGCGTGGGTAAGTAGGTAGACAGGTAGGTAGGTAAGTATGTATGTATGTAGGTGTAAAGTATTGTAACGAGGAGATCCTGTTCCTCCGTGAGCGACGAGTACGAGTACGACGCACTAACAGGTGCGGTGCATGGCGGAGTGGAGGGGGAGGAGGAAGAAGGGAGAAAGGATAGCGAGTGAGAAAGGGGGAAAAAGGTAGGTTCAGGTAGAATGGAAAGAACACAGCAAGTCCAACTAGCACACCATCAGATGGACATACCAGGCCAGACAGGACGCAAGAGCACCCGAACAGGAGATATAATAGTGTGGGCGTGATTATGATACAAATGGTCAGGTAAGGCGAATAACTGGCTGGATGAGAAGATGGGGCGAGGGGAGAAAGGAAGCTTGCCGCAACGGCACACCCCAACAAAAAATGGCTGAGACCTGTCGACTTTAGAAGGTGTCGTCACGAGATTATTACACTATTGTATGAGTGGTTATGGTACGACGGGCTTGATTGGTGGAAAGGGTTGGAGCTCAAAGGGATGAGCTTTGGTTTTCGGCTTTAAAATTGGACTGTTCTGGAGGGGAAGATCTGGGGGAGCAAGCAAGCGTGGAGAAGCGGGAAGGAGCGGGAAGGAGGAACGGAGGAGGGAAAGAGGGGATAGAACAGCAGGAAGATAGTAAAAGGGGCTAAGGAAGGAAGGAAGGATATGAATCTGACGGAACGGGGGTCCGGAGCTCTACGAGTAACGAGCTATTAACCCCCTTCATCCCCACCCTCCAAGTGCGAGCGAGTAGAATAAACAGTGTCATACCAGCACAGCACCATGTGGCCAGATACTTCTGCTTTACCCGGTACGATAGCACGACAGAAGAAAACAAAACAGTCTACTATATTGCAGTAACCCATCTTTCCCACCACTGGAGCAAGGTTAACAGCTATACACTATCATGGATGTAATGTTACGGCAACCATGTAATGTCTTGACCAACCAATCATCCCTCTCGACTCAACCCCATCCATCATCACTCAGTCCGAATCACTGTGTCTATGATCACTTCTACCAGGGAGTCCATGACCGACTGACTGCAAGATGCAACATCATATATATATACCCCATGACACTCATGATCGAAATCGGCCCTTACTTCGGAGAACCGGTTGCCTAGCGCACGTACTCTACAGTACCGGTACAACACCAATACACAAGCGTTACACCATGTCCCACTGTACCTAAAGTACTCGTACTGAGTGCCGTACTGTATTCTTCTCGGGTTGGGTATGCTCCATCATTAATGCAAGGGTTATATTACTATGAGAAAACGTCTAAAATACGATCGATTACAGGGGGGTATGTTTAATATACCATGCCATACCATCGGCAGGGGTTCAGTGGGCAAACTTGGACTGCTTGCCCTGAGCATAAGACAAGCTCCCAACACCCTCGGACTCCAGTAATCCATTTTATGCGAAGTTAGAAGAGGAGTCAAGATAGCATTATTAAGAAATAAACTAAAACACAGGTTGAGAACAATTAGGGAACAATCTATTAAAAATTACAAAAGCAGAAAGCAAATTTCCTAATTGGGGAATAATAGGAAATAAAAAAATTAAAAAAAAGGTTTCCGAGTCAGTAATATACATGTAAGGTGTAACCGGTACGGGTACTCGGTTATTGGTTTTGTTTTATGTTTGTTTTAAGTATCGCTTTGATACTTGGTTTGTTTTAAGTATCGCTTTGATACTTAGTTTGTTTTAAGTATTGCTTTGATACTTAGTTTGTTTTAAGTATCGTTTTGATACTTGGTTTTGTTTTATGTTTGTTTTAAGTATCGCTTTGATACTTGGTTTGTTTTAAGTATCGCTTTGATACTTAGTTTGTTTTAAGTATCGCTTTGATACTTAGTTTGTTTTAAGTATCGTTTTGATACTTGGTTTTGTTTTATGTTTTGTTTTAAGTATCGCTTTGATACTTAAGGAGTTTTACCAAAGAGTATCAATTGATACCTTTGATTAGTTTCGTTCATGCTAGACATGAACAGATTTGTGTATTTAAAGACCGCCTGTTTCTACGATAGAAAAGGCAGACTTCGACAGACAGTATTTCAATATACTTGGTTGAACAGTTACTTCTTTGTTTCTCAGTACACTCTCGAAGCCTCCTTTAGTTCTCAGCTCTCCCCTCCTCTCTGGAAGAGCAGGCCACCTGCCAATTATCATATCTTTACTGATAACGTGATTAGCACCTTGCGAACACGTTACACAAGGAGTACTCTTTAAAAAAAAAAAAAAAAAAAAAATTTACTTGAAGGTACAGACACAACAGGATTATGTATTGTGTATTAATAAAATTAACCACGATTCAACAATCAGTAGCAACCCATCCCTCTTCATCACCCCGCACTCTCAACAGTACCTAAAAAAATTACTCTAAGTTAACTAAGAAGAAACTATTCTGCTCAATTCTTTTTTTCAATAAACTATGCCTCCTATTCTTCACAGTCATGTCAAAAAACCTATTCCCTTCATGCATCTCTATGAGTTTACCAGGGAGAGGCTTCTCGGATTACATGATCCTCAGATGAGATATCAGCAAATTTCCCACTACTTTAATATCCCCTACACTACTGTCAGAGACAAAATTGCAAAGGGACACAAGAGGGCAAGGAGAATAAGGGTAGAGGAAGACATCCTAAAACTACCAAGTCACAGGAGGATGCTATAGTAGAGGAAGCTCATAAAAATTGTCATACTACCTATTCTGACATTACTGAACAAGTTACTTCCACTGTTTCTAGTAGGACAGTAAGGAGAAGATTTGAAAAAAAGTATCTTAGAAAGTGGATGGTACAAGAGAGAGTTCATTTGAATAAGGATCTAGCTCAAGAGAGGTTGGAATGGGCATTAGCTCATAGGTATTAGACAAAGGAGATGTGGAGAAGGAAGGCAATATGGGGAGATGAGGTAGCTGTAGAAAGGGGAAGAGGAAAGAGGAGAAAATGGATTTTCAGATACCTATATGAAAAATAGAATAAGGATTGTGTTGAACCTAAGGCTAGGAGAGGGGAGAGAGAGATTAGCCAGATAATGAGTGGTTGTTTTTATAGTCAAACTCATGGTCTTTTTTTACCTAATTTTCCTGATCCTTCTTCTGCTAGGAGTGAAGTTACTGGGAAGTCAATTATTGATGTTTATGATCATTATTCACAAGCACAACCCTTTGCTATATCTTATGAAGGATGATGTCAATGTAGTCAAGAAGGCAATAGTAGAGGCCATCATTTATTATTGGAAACTTCTTAACCTAAAAGTTTTTGATACTTTAGCTGAATTAATGGTGGATAGAATAGAGGCAATTATTAAGGCTGATAGATAGTATACCAAATATTAATTTCTACTATGTATTTACATCTATTAATTTTTTTTTAGTTTTCATGATAGTGGACTGGTAGGTGAGTGTGGTTGTCATCGCCGAAGATTTTCCTCTGTTGTATTACAGTTAATTTTATCCACGTACAATATTATGACCAGTGTAGCCACAGGAGGAGCAGAGCTGCTGACTTCTCCTAGATTGATGAGAAGTTTTCCTAGGAGCTGCGAAATTTTTATTTTTTTAAACGACCGATTACAGGACACATATAGAGAGGTTGTAAGACTATTGCTAGTGCTGAAATGGCTAGCGGGAAGTGCCAAACAGCAGAAGAGGATGAGGAAGAACTGGAGAAAGATGAAAAAGAGGAATTAGAGGAAAAGCAGCCAAAGAAGAAGGAGGAAAAATTGGAGTAAGAGAAGCAGGAGCAGGAGAAGAATAAGTAATGGTGAGAAGTTTGAGGAAAAGATTAACTCAAGGAGAGATAGTAGTGTCAAAAGCAATAGGGAGCAGAGGTGTTGGAAGTAGTAATAAAGGGGAGAAGTGAATATTAGATGCGGAGGAATGAAGAGCGTGTTGTAGAGTAGAAAGAACAGTGTGAGGAACTAATCAAAAGTTTACAAAATATGTATCTCAGCAAGTATTAACTGAGTACTCAGCAGGAACATGATAATCAAGAGAGTTTCCAAGATGAAGAATATATACAATAGTTTGACAGTAAGGTAGATTTGTTTTTTGGTAGTCAGAATAACTACATGTTCATGATACCAAGTCTACCATATAAACACGACCTTTGAGAGTCACAAATAATGCTCAGAAATGGTGAGAGAAGGAGGATAGGTTTCACATTGCTTTACCACGCTGTTCCTGTAAAATAGAATGAGTCAAAGGTGTAAAAATTTGTGTAAAAAGAATCTTTTCTGCTGCTTTTCAGGTACTAGATTATTGGTTTTGTTTTATATTTTATTTTAAGTATCACTTTGATACTTGGTTTGTTTTAAGTATTGTTTAATACTTGGCTTTGGTTTATGATTTGTTTTAAGTATCATTTTGATACTTAAGTAGTTTTACCAAAGTATATAGCTTGATATCTTTAATTAGTTTGGTTCATGCTACATATGAACAGATTTATGTATTTAAAGACCCCCTAATTCAACGATGGAAAAGGCAGACTTCGACAGATAAAATTTCAATATACTTGATTGAACAGTTACTCTTTAGTTTTCCGGTATACCTTCAAAGCCTCCTTTAGTTCCTAGCTCTTGCCTCCTCTCTAGTAGAGCAGGCCACCTGCCAACTATCGTACCTATTACCACTAAGGTGATTAGCACCTTGCGAACACATTACAGGTCCAGTACTGAGAGTTCCCAGGCTTGTTGGAGTACAAAATGAAGTACTTCAACTGCATTAGAAGTAAGCTGTCCATATCAACTTCTGTGTCCTCCTGGAATATAGGCTACTGTCCACATAGTAAGTTCTATTCCCAGAACATTATCAGCTGCTGCTGGCTTTTCTGCTCAAAGAAGTGCCAGCTATTCCAGAAATAATATCTCTGTAGCTGTATCTGCGAGTCACCAGGGGTATCCTTCCAATAAGTAATGTTATTTTTTAATGAAACTCTGTTGTAAATGCTATAAGCATAATAATTGTATAATCCTTGTACCTAAACAATCCTCTGCACATAAAAGGCCCTTATCATGATAGCTTATAATACTACATTGTAGTACCTCTGGAATTACCTGCTTTAAGTGGGTTAAAAAATACATCCAAGACTCTGTATTTTCACTCTCAGCTATTGATCATGCTAATAGAAGATATTGCCTATTAGCATTTACTGTTGCAGGTAGTAGAAGTGTTTGCTGATAGTGAGACCTTAGAAAAGTCTCATCTATTGCTAGAAATTGATATGTTTGACAGAATGAATGGCGTGACTCGGCAGGACAGATAAAAACAGGTTGAAAAACTGGAGAAAACACTTCAGACCCAGCCTGTACTAGAAGGTTAGACTAAAAATTAGGACTACATTCTTGTAGTGCTTGAAGATAGCTTGGTAAAAATAAATACTGCCGGGTCTGCTCTTGTTGATGTGTGCATATAATTGTAGTTTTTGCTCTATATATTGCCTGATAGCTAAACCTTTCGTTGTGGTGTAGGCGAATTGTTGTGATTATTTGGTGTGGTGTGGTAGACTTTTC